ATTTTATCTATTTTTTTTAGTTTTCGCAAATCTTGAAAAATTATTTCATCAATAAAATCTGACCATCTGTCTGTGTATTGTTGTTGTTTGATCATGTAACACTCACTCAATGACAATATATTAGTGAATGATGATGATCGGTAATTTTAATTTTGTTTTTTTTTTTGTTTTTTTTTTTTGGTCATTGACCGAACCTTGTGTTTTTTTCGTTTGTTCAATTTTTTTTCCATTTACATGCATACACACACACACACACACACACACACAGTAGCTTTATCACTTTTTTTTCCAAACCTTAAATATTTGCTCCTGGGACTCTTGGCCATCATCATCATCATCATCATCATCTTTTAGCTAATTTTACCTGTATGATGCTGATGATGATGATGATGAGCATTCTCTCATCTCCATCATATTTGTTCTTTGGTTTTTTTTTTACTGAAAAACAAATTAAACAATGGCTTTCAAGTAAATAACACACACACATAAGGTTAATAATCGAAGTCAATAATAATAATTTTTTTTTTGTTTCTGATGATGATGATGATGATGGTGGTGGGCTTTCTATCTGCTTTACCAGGTTTTTTTTTCTTTTTTGGTTATGAAAGTTTCTAAAGATGATGATTATTATTATTTTCAAGGCAATAATGATCGAAAGAGAGAGAGAGGTTGGTTCGTCATCGACCTTTGACCTAGAGAAGAAGAAGAAAAAAAACAACAACGAAAACGAAATTCATCAACCATCAGACCATCAGAAGCAATCATATAATAGCAACGAGAAAAAAAAAGTAATCAAGAATATTGATAACCGTAGAAAGAATCGAAAGTTTGCAATAAAAAAAAAATAAAAATTCATTTATTTCTTTCTTGTTGTGAATAAGGTAAATATTTATTCTTTTTACCCACAACATAACAGGAAAAGTGAACAAAAAAGAATTTCTCTGTCGATTCTTAATGGATGTTATATGGTGTTTGTGATGTAATTAATATATATATATATAAGAAAGAAAGTTCAATATCGGTCATCGAATGATTAATTTTTTTTTTGTTCTATTAGCGAAATTCTAAACTTGCCAATGATGTGGTGGTGATGGTAGTGTGTAAACAATTATCGATTGTGATGTGACAAATATAGGTAGTGTGTGTGTATGTCTATGTTGTGAAAATATTTGTGAATGACAATCTTTTTTTTTTAAACGTATTCACTATTTTTATAATTTTCAATAATGAACGTTTTTGACGATGATGATAATGAATGAATAAATGAATGAAAATTCACAATTGAATGAACATTCAACCAAAAAAAAAAAAAAGGAAAAACAAAAATCTGTCACCTGATAATTGAATGCTTTAACACAATGCATAAAGCACCTGTGTGTGTGTGTGTATTTTTTTTTTTTTTCTTGTTTTATCTTAAATCTAAAAGGATGCAACACATGACTTCACACATATTCCATCTGTTGATCATTATGTGATATTGTTGTCAACAACAACAACAACAACACACAGTATGAATATAAAAACTAAATGAAATTGTTGTCGAAACCAAACCAACAACAAAAAAAAAACAAAAAAGATTGATAATGATGATGATGATGATATGATCAATTTATTATAATCCGCCGATCAATATTGATATTGATCTTTATAATAATGAAGAAAAAAAATTATTCCAGTGATTAATATCATATCATTATGGCCAATACACACGGACATCAAATAAAAGTAAGAACTAGAATATATAGAAATTCACATTTTGATCTGATTGATTCTGTGATGATATAATGTCTATTTTTGTTGAATCGATTTGATGATCGCCATTGACATAATGATAAATGATGATGATGATTTTTTTTTTTTTTTGAAGAAGAGAAAAAATTTCTTTTTTCGATATTCGTGGGTTATTAAGAAAAAAAAATAGAACGAATTAGACTAAGAAGAAATCTGATGAAATGATCTAATATTTGGCTTCTTATTTGGCCAGTGCGTGCGTGCGTGTGTGTGTGTGTGTCCACTACGTGTTTGGCTTGAAACCTTGACTGCTAAATTTGAAGCAGTTGAATCTGATTGAATTGCCATTATAGTGATCAACATCGATGTGTTGTTACATTGGATATGATCCGATCCATTCCTAAATTTGAACAGTTGTCAGACAGAATTAATGCTCTACAAACTTGTTCAATGAAGAGATATAATGAATGCATTTATCGAATATGATGAAAATATGAAAATTAATTCATTAACATCAAAATCGACATCGGATAATCGAGAAGCGGCAAAATGATGAGAAATCGTAATAAAAACAATTCAAAAATAATGTTCAATGCTCGTATTGCTTAAGAAATTTGACATCAAGAAAAGATTGTAGATTTAAATTTTGGGATGAAAAACATAAATCATCATCATCTGTCTACATCTTCATCAGTGCCATCATCATCCAAATCTGCATCATCATCTTCATCATCAAATAATAAATCGAATGGATCAAATAAACAAGTTGCGAAAATCAATTATAACGAAAATATATTGATAAATCCTCAAACATATGGATTCTCGATTCAGGCTGTACCACACATACCACAGTTGATGATAAAAATCTTTTGATCCCTGAATTTAAGAAAATTCAATTTGAAACAGCTAGTGGTGAAACAGTTGAATCTGAAAAATCGGTGATGTCATTATTAAACCAAAAGCCAATCAACAATTGATTCTTAAAAGAAATGTTTTTTGTAAATCTGGCAACCCCGAACTCTTGATTTCCATTCGACAATTGACCTTGGATGGATATAAATATATTTTTGAACAAGATCGAGCTTATATTATGCAAAATGATAATATTATTATCGATGCACATCTTCATGATGATTTGTGGATACTAACTGAAAAGCCAATACAAAGATTTATAATCTTTGTGGCATAAAAGATTGGGCCATTGTTGCTTTGAAAATATCTTGACAAAAATTAAAAAGTATTGAACCACGAATCAATTTAAAATTATGAAAATGTGAAGATTGTTGCAAAAATAAATCATTCTCATCACCACATCGAACTCCAATGATCTATAATGATATAAAAGCATTTGAATTTTTGCACATTGATCTTTGGGAGTCACCATCATTATCTTGTAGTGGTAACCGTTATGCTTTAATTATTGACCATTGTGGATCACCATTCACGTTTCTGTTTTGGTAGTATACCAATAAAAGCAAAATCAGATGCAACACCAGCATTAATTAAATTTATTAAACGTAATCAAAAACGGTTCAACACACAAGTAAAAAGAATTCGTTCAGATAAAGGAACAGAATTTTTGAATAATGAATTAAAATCATTCGTTGAAGAAAACGGTATTGATCATGAAACAACGGTTGGATATTCACCGCAACAAAATGGTGTAGCAGAAAGGATGAATCGAACTGTGTTTAACACGGTGAGATTATTTTTAAATTCATCCAATTCACCGTTTAAATATTGGGCTGAAGCCATGTGCACGGCCATTTATACAATAAATACTTGGATTCGTGAAGATGAAAAGTCACCATATGAAAAATTATTCAATAAAAAACCTGTTTATAATCATCTTAGGACATTCGGTTGTATTGCATACATTCATACCGATAAATCGAAACGATCAAAATTGGATCAAACAGCAGAAAAATATATGTTTATCGGATATACCAATTCAATTGTTAATTATCTGATACTTGATCCAACAACCGATGAAACATTTGTAACAAATGATGTCCGATTTGATGAATCAAAAATGTATTTCAAACCTTCAAAATCTACATTATCTAATGATCAAACATCATCATCATCATCAATAAGTGATCAAGAAGATTATTCTTCTCCATTTATAAATATGAATAATTCTGCTATCGATGATAATTTTAATGAACATTCTAATGAAGTTTCAACATCGACAGATTCAACAGAAACAACAACATCGTCAACATCTGAAAATTTTGAAGATGATGATTATGATCCAAATGATGATTCAAATTCAAATGATGATTCAAATTTAAATGATGATGAAAATATAAATGATGATGAGAATATTTTTGATCAGCCACGTCGTTCTACACGTGAAAATATCGGTGTACCGCCAACACGTTATGGTTATAAATGTGTAAATTCATGTGTGATTCCATCGACATATGAAGAGGCAATTAAATTATCCGATTCAAAATATTGGAAAGAAGCAATTGATAAAGAGATTGACCAATTACAAAAATATATGGTTTTCAAAAAAATTCCTATGGATAATTCAAAGAAAATTATTCAAACAAAATGGATTTTTACCAAGAAACGAAACGGTACTTATAAAGCCCGTTTGGTTGCAAAAGGTTTCTCTCAAAAATTTGGTATTGATTACAACGAAATTGCTTCACCAACACCTGAACCATCATTGACAAATTTAATTTTGGGTTATGCAACATCGTTTAAATATAAGACTCGACAAATTGACATTCGTACTGCTTTCCCTAGAAGAAAAATTTCTTTTTTCGATATTCGTGGGTTATTAAGAAAAAAAAATAGAACGAATTAGACTAAGAAGAAATCTGATGAAATGATCTAATATTTGGCTTCTTATTTGGCCAGTGCGTGCGTGCGTGTGTGTGTGTGTGTGTATGTGTTTTGATGATATTGATCGATTAGCCGCTTCAAATATTTGTTGTTGATGATGATGATGGCAGTGGTAATAAAAATAAAAATTGTTATCGTTTTCAAGCTGATTATAAATGACCATAATAAAGATAATTATTATGTCGATATATGCGTGTGTGTTTTCTTAGTCATTTCCATCAAAAAAAAAAAAAACAATTTCATCACGCTGCCGGCGACATCTAGTGTCTAAAAAATTAAGTTTTACAGAAAAAATTAAAATTCGAACTTTTTGTCAATTGTAAACAAAACAAAAAAAAAATTAAATTAAATTTAAATTTCATTTCATTGTAAATTTTTAATATTTAATCAAAACTTTTTCTACAATCTTTTCGTGTACAAGATTCAAATATATTTACTTTGTATGTTTGTCTAAATGGATAAAAAATTATTGGCCAACCTTAAATATATTGAATCCAATGATTCAAGTTATGAAATAATCGATTACCTTGGTAAAGGATCATATGCAATTGTTGTTCGTGCACGTAATATTAAAAATGATCAAATTGTTGCCATTAAAATCGGTATAATCAAAGATCGTGATGATGATCAAAACAAACGAATTGAATTGTTGGCAAAAAAAGAAGCTAAAATTCTTTTCCAATTACGATCACATCGTAATATTGTTGAAATTTTTGATTATTTTCAATCGAATGATAATCATAGCTATCTTATTCTGGAGCTATGTGTTAACAAAGTGAGACTTTTTGAAGTTTGAAATTTTTCATTTAACAAACTTTTTTTACAGTCTTTAAATAGTTTATTACGAAATCAACAATGGAATTTAACGAATGAAATGATAAAAACATTTCTACATGATATTATTACTGGCTGTCAGTATTTACATTCAAAACGAATCGTTCATCGTGATCTTAAACCGGATAATATTCTTATGAATGAAAATTTTGTAGCAAAAATTGGTGATTTTGGTTTAGCCACCGAATTGTCGTCTGTGGATAAACTTTTGTATACATTTTGTGGTACACCTAAATATCAAGCACCAGAAATGATTACAAGAATTGGTTATAATTTTTCCATTGATATATGGGCAATTGGTTGTATTGCATATCGATTATATTATGGTAATGCACCATTTAATGGATCCAATGCAAATGAAATCTATCGTTGTGTATTGAATAAAAATGTTAAATATTCTCGTATAAGTTGTTATGATTTCAGTATCAATAATGAAGAAATAAATTTTATTCGATCAATGTTGATTAAAGATTCGAAAAAAAGAATCACTATTGATCAATTGTTGAAGAAACGATTTTTCACCAATAAACCATCATCATCAATGGATACACGAAACGACGATGAACGTCAGACAACAACAACAACAACAACAACCACCACCACGAACGATGATAATAATCGAAAACGAAAAATCGAATACGATTCAATGATTGATTATATGAAAGCAATTTCCAATTATGATTCGAATAAATTAATTCGTATAAATTATTTACCATATCATGATAATCATCTAACACCAATCATTTCAATAAGGCAATGGATTGAAATCGCTATGTTTGGTTTTGGCTATGATTTTGGCCATAAAACTTTTGGTTTTAATTTTCGTGATCAAACCAAAATGATGTTACATAATGAATCTGTTTTCTACATGGATAACAACAACAACGACAACAATACAACACAATCATCATCCATTTGTCAATTTCCAACGACAGATTGTCCAAATTTATTAAAGAAAAAATTAAAGATTTTAAAACAATCTTTTGATGTTTTACATCGAACTCCTGTTACTGATGATCAAACAAAAATTGTTAACGATGGTGATGATGATGATGATGATTTACAAATACAATTCAATGAACAACAAATTCCTTGGTTACAAAAATGGATCAAAACCATCGATGCTATTGTTTTTCAATTGATGACATATAATTTGATACAGATCAATTTCGATGAACAAAAGAAAACGCTTTTGTTTGATCCGAATAAAAAATCAATGACCATTGTGAATGTGGCCACTAGAAAAAAATTATCATTAGCATTATCATTCATTATGAATGGAAATATTACGGATCGTATGCAACAATATGTATCGATAGCTTTACAATACATAGAATTAATTAATCAATAAATAATTTTCATCAATTCATGAATTTATTCGATTTAAATACTACAATAATCGATAGTATCGATAGTTTCAAAAATTTTAATTTACAAGTTTTTTTTTGTTGTGTTTTTGTTTATTTGTTTATTGATTGATGTGTCAACATTCGATTTTTGATCATCATATTAAGAATTTATTTGTTTTTCTCTGGACAAAAATGGCTAATATTAAAGAAGCAAATGATTGTTATTCAAGAGCGGAAAAAGCGTAAGTATTATGACCATTCTGTGGTTTTTAATTTTAACGTCGTGGTCGTTTCTAAATTAGTCTCAAAACTGGCCTGATGAAATGGACACCAGATTATGAAATAGCAGCCAATGAATATAGCAATGCTGGTTCGATTTTTTTTCTATTCATCGATTTTAAACAATTTAATATTGATGTAATTTTTCTTTTCAATGTGTAGCAAAAATATTTCGTCAAGTTCGAATACCAGAAAAAGCCATTGAAGCGAATTTAAAAGCGGCTAATTGTTATGAAAAATCACGATCATATTTTTCTGCTGCCAAATGCTATGAACAAGCTGGAGCCATTTCAAAAGAGATGAAAGAATGGGATAAGATGATTGGATATTATGAAAAATGTTGTATGTATTATCGTGAACATGGTGTACCAGATACGGCTGCATTGACTTTTAACAAAATTGCTGGGTAAATACACCGTATCGTATTATTGACATAATTAGATGTTAACTGTTTTATTGTGATACAGTGTTCTTGAAACGATAAAACCAGAAAAATCAGCTGAATGGTATGGACGTTGTTATGATATTACAATGAATGAAGATCGTTATCTTCAGGCTGCCGAATATGCTAACAAAGCTGTACGAATGTATTTAAAATTGAAAAATTATGATGAAGCCATTAGATTATCGGATAAAGCATTCGAAGCATATATAACTGGCGGAGAAGAACGTTCAGCTGGACGTCAAACGGTTACTACGGTTATTATACAATTAGCACGTGATGATAGTGTTGCAGCACAAAAAGCATATATGGCAAATAAGACATACATTCATCAAGATGAACGTTATACATTGGATCAATTATTTCAAGGATTTGATCAATTTGATAATACAACAATCAATCAGGCATTAAAATCACCATTTTTAAGCAGTATGGACAATGAAATTGTTAAGATTGTACGAGATTTACTTTTGAAATATCAACCAAAAACTGATACAGGTGATCAATACAATCCATCGAATGCTAATAATGATGATGATTATGATGATGAAGCTGGTGCCGTACTATAAAAATAATAATAATAATGATGATGATGATTGCTACATTAATCAAATTGATCATTCCAAATTTTATAGTTGCAACTACAACAACAACAACAACAACCAACGAAATTTGCAATTTAATCAATCACAATCTCATTCTCTTTTTTTTCATTATTTTATATCAATCTAGTCGTGTGTGTTTTGAGTAATTTTATTTTTCCTTTGTATTTGTGTGTGTGTGTGTGTGTGTGAAGAATAATGATGAATTTGTAGATTCTCTATACATATGTGTGTGTGTTTGTTTGTATTTTTTTTATTGATTCAACTAAATTACAACAACATTGATAAAACTCTAGAATAAATAAATAAATGAAAAACAAAACAGAAACACTGAAAATGTTTTTTCGAATGTTCATCATCATCATCATCGTGTTTTTTTTTCTTTTGTTTCTCTCTAACAATCATCATTTGACAGAAAAAAAAGTTGTAAAAACAAAAAAAAAAATTTTTCGCAATTTTTCTTGACTTTATATTCAACTCACTGCTGTTGTAGTTGGTATTGTCCATGAAAATGGAATTATGCCAAGTAAAAAATAATCATCAAAAGTGATTAAGACAGACAATGTGTGTGTGTGTGTTTGTGTGTGTTTACGAAAACGAAAACCATCCCAACTCTATCTATCTAGTATCTAGTTTTTCATTTGGAATTTTTACTTTTGTTGTTGTTGTTGTTGACCATTTTTCGTTTCATTTGATCACTTTTTTCATTTTTGTTGTTGGCTAAAACTTTCTATTTCAAATATTATGTAGAGAATAAAACTGAAAAAAAGACTCCAATTTACTATAGAATGTGTAGAATCATATGAAGAATATTTTTATTTTTATTTTTTTTTCTTTTCTACTTTTTCGCTGTTGGATAGCCAAACGCCATCACCATCGTGGAAAGAATAGATGATGATGATGACGTCGTAGACTATATGTGTGTGCATGTGTTTTTATTGTAGAATTGAGAGAAAAAGGTTTTGATGATGATGTTGATGATGATGAAGCTAATGGAACCTTTTCCGGTCGGCATGCAAAGACCGGAACTGCAGTCAGATGAGATGATGATAGTGGCAGTGTCAACTATGTGTGTGTGTGTGTGTGTGTGTGTATTTGATTCTCTATGTTGCTGCTTTTTTTCTGACTATACGAAAATGTTGAACATTTGTTGTCGTCATTGTTATTCTCCTAGTTATTAGCTTGTATAATATCCAGACGATTCTACTTTTATTTTTATTTTATTTTCTATCTTTTTTTTCACTGATATTGCTCGGTCCAAATTTGTTTTTGTATAATATTTGTTGATGGTTGATTGGTTGTGTTTTGTTTTTTTTTTCTTCGTTTGCTAGACTGGATTGTTTAGGCGGACTATCCACCAATCCCAGAAAAAAAATCGACAACCATCAACCGACAAACCAAACCAAACCAAACCAAACAACATGATTCATAAGATTGGAACCTTTCTTTTTCTTATTTCTTTGTATATTTTTTTTTTTTTTGTGAAAACAAATGAATTCTGAGATGACATACACGTTTTTTCTTCAGTTTTTTTTCTGAGTTAGAATTATCAATTCAATTATTTACATTTATCATTCTGGATCATCATCATCATATGGAATAAATGAATAAAAAAAATTGTATCCAGAATTGTAAATTCCAAGCAAATGAAAGAAAAAAATTTTTGGTCCATTGAAAATGCAAATTTATTACTTATATATTCAATGGATGAATGAATGTCAATTTTTTTTTCGTTGAATTTGAATCATCATGAATTTCGTTTTTTTTTCGCTTCAACCAAATTTGGATACACATAAATCACTGCCAATTTTGTCCATAATTTTTTTTTTTTTTTTGATCGTTATTGTCAATAATGGATTCAAATAATTTTTTTTATGGATAAAAAAATGGATTTTTTTTGTTGTTGTTTGTTTGCTTATAACACACACACAAACATTTAAACCTAAAATTCTTGATGATAATGGAGATGACAACTAATTGTGTGTGTATTGGCTGGTTTTTGTGATCCAATGTAAACATTCATGTCACACACACAGACCCAAAACAAACCACTTGGACATTGATCTATTTTAAGTATACTTTTTTTGGTCAGCACTAAAAATCTTCGTTGTAATAATGATTATCGCCAATTAATCAACACACATATCGTGTTCGTGTTGTTGTTGTTGTTTGTATTTGTCACCTTTTTTTCAAGAGTAACAACAACAACAAGTACCACTTGATATAGACATCAAAGAATTTTTGTTCTGTTTTTTGCCATATCAAGATTGATTTATAAAAGCTTAATTTACATTTGAAATTTTCATCTTTCTTAAATGTGATGATGATGATTGAATCAAAATTGAAAAATGATGTAATATTCAAATTGTTAGGCATGAAAATTTGTAAAAAAATTAGAATAACTATATCGTGTGTGTGTGTGTGTGTGTGTGTGGGTATGCGTTAAGTGCTACAATGATGATGATTTAGAATTGAATAGAATCGATTTATTTTTGTTTGAGGAATCGAATGAATTTTTCATTCTATTACTTAGTTTGTTAATTTTTTTTTGGTACTTTACTCTATTCTATACTGCCAGAGTTTTGAAATCAAAACCATGATAATGATGATGGTGAATTGGTTTTCATTTCTCTCTCTCTCTCTATCTCTCTCTATCTCGATTCAAAACACTTAATTTAAATGTGAAAAAAAAGAATTCTAAACACTGTGATCATCCTCATCATTATCACTATCTATCGGGTCGTTTAACCAGAAAGATCGAATAATAGAGAGAGAGAGAGAGAGAGAGAGAATCGGGGGCCAAAAAGGAAAATTTTTGGTTCTTTAACCAACGAAAAAAAACCGTCATTTCGACAAATTAAATATGGGTTTTTTTTGCATATATGCTTGAATGAATGGTTAGAATCCATTAGGAGGTACCACAAATGAATGGAATGGAAATTTTCATTGCTTTATCATGATGATGAACAACAACAACAACCATCAGTAAGTATAGTACCATTCAATTTGAATTTGTAAGAGGCTGATTTTTTTTTTTTTTTTCGTTCCCTTTCATCACACCAAATGTGAAAATGGTAGATAGATAGATAGTGTTTTGTGTCTGGTTTTTTTTCTCTGTGTGTTTTTGTGTATATGTAAAAAGGCGTATAAGAAAAAGTTTTGACGATGACGACTACTACTAGATGATGATGATGATGATGAAAATGAGTCTATAACATTTTTTTGCTCATTTATTTCACCAAAAAAATGGTGATGATGATGATGATGATAATAATGGATATCAACCGTTAACACACACACAACAATAATGTGTGTGGCATTTGCATATTTTTTTTTCTTCTCGTTCAAATCACAAATGATGATGATGAGCAACATTTTTTCCATTAATATAACAATTGTGTGTGTGTGTTGGTGGAACATCACACATTTCATCATCATCATCATCATATTATTATGGTGTCAACTTTTTTTTTTTTTTTTGAATAAATTCGACCAACCGTGATCGACACACACACACACAAAACCGAATAAATGAATGAAAACATGACAACACTTTGTATGATGCAAATATAGCAGCAACATATTGTTGTGCTATCATCGTCTTGGAGTATTTCTCATCATCATATGCATGTTGAAAATGAAGAGAGAAAAAAAAATTTAATTTAAAAATTTGGTACTTAAAGAATCGGTATCGATATCATCGATGGTAATGTCGATGTAATAAATTGATAAATATAAATAATTTTCCCATAGGATCTCTTTACGGTGGTTTCAATTGCCAATGTTGATGATGATGATTGTTTTTTAATGAAAATTTAGAATTGAATGAGAAAAAAAAGACCTAAATCAACGTTATGTTGATACAAAACAAAACAAAACCGAACAGCAAAAGACCAAAACATTTTGGTTTAGTGTGTAAGTGTGTGTGTGAGTGTGAGTGTGAATGAAATGAAATGAAATGAATATTTCACTTGATCGTAAAGAACAATCAAATTTTGTATAAATGAAATGAAAACAGTACAAAAAAAAAGACGAATCACACGCGTTTTAATCTCTAGCTATATTCACAAATTTGACAAGAGAAACAAAATTCAAAATCATTATCATCATTGAGATTATTTGATACATGTAACACGCGCCCGTGTTATGTGTGTGTGTGTGTGTGTGTGTGTGATCAATTGAAAATGGTGAATTATGTATTCATTGGAGTGAGTGATTAAAACTATTCTGTTTTTTTTCCAGAAAATATTTTATTAAATGTGAACAAACAACGTATCCATTCTATTCTATTCTATTCTATTCATTCATTCAATTGTAAAAATCGTGCCTCGTGCCTTTGACCTTAGACCTTTTTATTGAATGGAGACAATAATAAACATTTTTTGTTGTTGTTGTTGTTCTTGTTGTTGTTATCGATGATGATGATGATGATGATGATGTTTTGTAGCCACGATCCGCTTCATTTTTATGAATTAGGTTATATCATCATATACACAATAAAAGTCTTTACTATTTGTGAAACTTAGATCATCAACAACAACAACAACAACAAAACATCGTATGTTTTTATAATGTAAAAATCAGGAACCGTGCCAACCATATCCAAAAAAAAAAAAAAACTTTTGATATTTCAGCATCATCATTGTATACGGTGTATACTTACTTTATTCTCTCACGTTTGACGCTTTCTCGTTAAGCCAATAATCGGTTGGTTGGTTGGTTAGTTGAATGGTTAGTTAGAGTTGGACGTTTGTTCATATCGGTCCCCATCATTTTTTTTGTTTTGTTTTGTTTTGTTCATGTTGATATATATATAATATAATGATGATGTCGATAGTATATTTTCGATTTGTTGTTGGCTATATGGATGGAAAAAAAATTTTTTTTCTCATTTACTCAAGTTAATCATCATTGTTTTGTTCATCATCATCATCATTGATGATGATGATTATTATGATGTTGATAATAGTAGTGGTAGTAAGTAAGTAGTAAGTAGTAATCGTATATTTGTTGTATAGTTTTTATGCTTGAATAAATTCTATTATTTTTTCCTTTTTTTTTTATATATATATATAAGCTTGATAGCTTGATTTGATGGTCGTTTGTTGTTCGACAATCTTTTATTTTTCTTGTTGTTGTCGTTGTTGTTGTTGTTGTTATTTGTTTGAAATTTTCTCCCATCCTATATAAATGTTTCTAAAGAATCTATGATGATGATTAAAACAAGCATCGACAACAACAACAGCAACAAAATGAGTAAATTGTTCGGGTGGGGATGGTAGAATCTTGAAACAAATCATAACAAGATATTGGCTGACATATGCACATTCAATCCAGTAAGTGTGTGTGTGTGTGTGTGTGAAAGCAAGCATTCAATTTAGCCAATTTTTCTGTTTTGGTTTTCGTTGTTGTTGTTGTTTGACACTTTTATGGGAAAATGGGAAAAAAATCACAACAATATCAATAACGACAGGAATAATCATCATCATACTATATGATGATGGTGGGCATATTATCAATCATTTGATCCAATACACATGTGCATGATTGATTTATGTAGACAATCATTTCATTTCATTCAAATCCAAAGTATCCATTTACAAAGGGGCATTTGTTAACCACTCTTTTGACACTGGATTAATGAACATTTTTCTTTTCTTTTTTTTTTGTTGTAAATGAGAAGAAAAAAAAACTAAATTTTATTCAATTTTCAGGGTTATTCTTATTATAATTATCATCAATTGGAAAATTTTATATTTACAAAATCAAAGGAAAAAACGAAAAAATTGCGAGAGAAAAAGAGAAAAAACACTATATAAAAATTTTCTGTTTTTTTCATCATCATCTATGTATTTTTTGTCTTGTTTTGTTTTGTTTTGTTTTTTTTCTGTATGTCAATCAATCAATCAATCAATAAAAATCATAAAGATCCACATCGATAAGATCAGAAAATTGCAAATTTTTTTTTCAAAATTCGTATACATTATGTATATTTACATCAACGGTTTTTTAAATTTTTTTTTTTCAAGCATAATGTGAATATGATCCAATATGTGATGTCATTGTTGGATGATGATGATGATGATTATGATGATTATGATGATTAGATGCATGATGATGATGATGATGGCTAATTGCAGCTGCTGATGCAGCAACAGCATGATTTGATGCTGCTGCTATATTTGAATAAAGATTAGCTGCTGCTGCATTTGCACTACTTGACCAATATGATGTTGGTGATGGAAATATTGTACCAGATGATGTTGGTGATATTGGTGATGCACTGGCAGCAGCAGCAGCATGCATAGCAGCAAAATTTAAATGTGCTTTTGTTGTTGTACCATGATGATGATTATGATGATGATGATGATGACCACTATGATAACCGGATGCATGATGCATTGTTGTAAATAGATCGGCCGATTGATAGGCACCTTTATACATTGATGTATCAGTTGGACTAGGCTGTGTAGCTTGAGCAAGACCCTAAATTATTTACAATTGATTGATTGTGATTATTTGTTTCGAAAACAAAATCGAAAATCAAATCAAATCAAATCAAATCAAACAAATGGACAAACAACAAACAAACAAACAAACAAACAAAAAAATTGAAGCTTAGTAAACATTGTGATAATCAGATTATTATGGATGAATAGTCTATATCTATCTATCTATCTATTGATCGATAAAACATCATTCAATCATTATATTGATGATAAAAAAAAATGTAACTAACCTGAAAATCAAACTTGTATGCGTATCGTTTTCCATGTACTTTAGTCATAATATTCTTATCATAATAATAACGTAATGCACGACTCAATTTATCATAATTCATGTTTGGTTTGCTTTTTCTTTCGCCCCAACGTCGTGCAACTTCATCTATTTGAAATGAAAATTTTCAATAAGTGAGAGAGAGAGAGAGAGAGAGAGAGAGAATAAATTCTTTGTGAACAAATAAACAAATACCGAATATATATATATGGCCACCACAAATCGGTAAACAAATATCAAACTATAAGTGTGTTTATGTGTATGTAGACAACACTAACCTGGATCGGTAAGTTTAAATTCACCATTAGTACCTTCCCAAGTGATACAATTTGAATTGCCTGAATCGGATAAAAGTTCGAGCAAAAATTGCCACAATTGTATCTGTCCTGAACCTTGAATAAATAAATACATTTTTTTTTCATTGTTGTAATAATAATAATAAATACCGTATAATGATAATAACCGATGATATGAAAATGAAAATGAAAAAAAAAATTTTCCATTAAAATACATACCCGAACTTGCTAGCCGAGAGCTTGTTGGTCCAAACATTTGATATGGATCTATTTAGACAGATCAGACGAATGAATGAGAAAAAAAAAGAGAGAAAAATTTAATAATATTGGCTATGTAAATATGAATGAAAAGTTTTTTTTTCATTAAACATTCAACCAACAACATCGATGTTGATGGTGATTTCAAAAAAAAAAAAAATTGCTGGTGACTTTAATGTCTCTCATCATCATCATCATCATCATCTCGTATTACAGACGCACACACACACACACACATCAATATCATACTTGTTTTTTTTGTTTAGAGATTCTTGACTTGTTTTCAGAATCTTTCAGAAGAAAAAAAAATTCATTCATAATTGTTAGTCGCTCATTTGTTGTTGTTGTTGTTGTTGTTGTTGCTCGTTTGTCATTTGTAATTGTCTTGCTCATCATCATTAATGTGTGTGTGTGTGAAGCAAACTTCCCCCTCACCTCCCTCCAAAAAAAAAAAAACAGTCAAAAAAAAAATTAATGGCAATGAATCAAGCGAATAGTAAAGAAAAATCTGTCAGAAAAAAATGAAAAAAAACGGTTTTTTTTCTCGGGTATTCAATACCCGACCCTCATTGATGATGATGATGATGATGCATTGGTATGAGTGTTTGTTGTGTAAATAAAACTGTGAAAATTATCATCAAATGGATGGTTGGATAGAGGCAGTGAAAGTGAGGCATTTTGTGGATCGTTTATTTGTTTGTTTGTTTATTTATTTATTTGGCATTCTGGTTTCGTTTTCTCTTTTTGCTTTTTTGTTGTTGTTGTTGTTGTGGTTAAAAGCCTTATAAATACACCACATATATTGATATTGAATGATAATGTCGTTGTTGTTGTCATCAAAACAAAAGTGTCATGAAAAATATGAATTTTTTTTCTCTTCATGTCAAATATATTATGTTGAACAATTTACCATTTTCTCTATTTACATCAAAAACACACACATCAACATGAAATTACATCATCATTAGAGTGTGAATAAAGTAAGACGAATAAAAACCAAGCACACACACACACACACTTATGTGCTATACAAGCTCTATATTTTTTTTTCTACCATCCATATATTGATAATAATGTTTAATTGTGCTTAATAGTAGAATATTCGGGCATGTGTGTGTGTGTGTGTGTGTGTGCAAACAGAAACACCGACACGGGATATTGTTGTGATAGCTATATTTTCAACAACGAAAAAAAAATGACTGATGTGTTTACATAATAATAATCGACGATAGATAGATATAGATGGATGGATGGATGGATGGATGAAAACATTAAACACATCGATGCATCTATTCAACAGAAACATTTCAATTGGTTCAATATTTACAGTGTGAAAAGAATTTGAAATGGGAAGAGTAAAAATAAAAATTCTAGATGTGAAAATGGATTTCAATTCATTTGATTAATCATTAATCAAATAGAAGAAACAAAAAAGAATCGAAACAGTCTGACAATTTTTTTTTTGGGTTTCGAATCGAATCAAATAGAAAACGAATAAAAAAAAATTCGACAACAACAACAACAACAACAACAGATCATGGTTCATTAATTCAGTATACTGTGTCGGATAGGTAGTAAACAAGAAAAAAAAACGGGCGTGTGTATTGTATTCTGTTTGTGTTGTCTGTCAATGTATTGATTTCATTTGTATTGATCAATTCAATGGATTTCAATTGTTTCAATTGAAAATGACTTGTCTTTTGAATTCAATCAAGTGAACACACTGCATAGACACACATAGCAAATGTTTTTGGTCGAATCAACACAAATATATCATTTCTCACTGGATAAACAACACAATTTTGTATTTTATAAGGATTTTCTATATTTGGCAACATAATAGGATTAATGTCTGTTTGTTTGTGTGTATTTGTATCAGGGAATCTGAACATTTGTTTGTTATTTATATAATTAAAATTTCAATGTTTCACAATTTCATTGATGATGATGATGATGATGATGATGACAGAACACAAAACCAAAAATCAATCAATAATTTTAACATACCTTGAATCGTATTACGAACATTTAGATGTGAATGATTTGTTGTTTGATCCAATGATACGGCAGCGGCAGCAGCAGCGGCCGCTGCTGCTGCTTTACTTGTTATACCAGTGATTGAATTCGGATGATAATCTATGGTACAGCAAAAAAAAAAAAAATTGGATAGATAATTATAGAGATTTTTTTCCAGATTTATAATAAAAAAATACGTGTTTTCCCTAGTTAGTTTTTATAATTACAAATTGATCCATTATTTTTTTTGGTTTAGGTTGCGTGTTTGGGGTTTGTGTGTGTAAAATTTACGTGCTACCGACGACAGCTTCGTAATTGTTGAATAATAATAATAATAATAATGATGATGATATACACGCATAATAATAATGATGATGATGATGATGATGATGGTGGTGGTGGTGGTGGTAAACGCCCCAAATAAAATTAGTTAACTACCAATTTTGGTTGAAATATGATCACTGGGAATCATTATGACATAATATTAGGCGTACCATAATATGACCATTATAAGCTAATAATTTTAATTGATACCATTTATTCATTTTGAAGAATTTTTTTTTTCTTTCTCTCTCTCTCTCTTTCTCTGTTTTTGATCTAAAATGATTATACACACACACACACACACACCGATAACCGACACCCGAATATCACTTTCGTTTCTTTTTTTTCACTACCGAAATGACACGAAAACATGATATTTTTTTTTATTTTTGTTTTCAATTAATTTCAATCATGTCATGTCATTCATTATTACGTCATCATTACCATATGGATCGTCATGGTGGTGGTGGTGGTGGTGGTGGGTGATATTGATGATAGTATCATGATCATGTTACGGGTTTCTGGGTGTAAATCGCACAGCACGCAATCATCATCATCATCATCATCATAGGCCCCATGAGACAACAACAACAACAACAACAACAGCAGCGGCAGCAGAAAATCTCTGTCACCGGTGTACCGATCGATCGATTTATTTGGGTATTGTTGTCGAAAATGAATTCCCTTGATGAGAATTTCATTTTCATTGAATGACAAAATCGTTCGTTTACTATTATGGCTGAACACTGAAAATAATATTGTGCCTGTCATCAGATTTTTTTTGTTGTTTCTTTTTTTTCGTTCGTTTCTATTTCATTTTCAATTTTCAATTCAATTTGACTTTTATTATTGACTTGCGCGGACTAAATAAAAAAAATTGACTCTGTCATCAGGATTTACTTTTTTGTTTTGTTTTGTTTTGTTTCTTTTAAATCAAAATTGAAATTGAAATGTAACTTTTTTTTGACATTCAAATTGTTTATTACATTTTTTTAATTCATTCAATGATTAAATAAACAAAATGATCCATAGACTAAATAACTATATGTCAAAAATCTTGTGTACTGTAATAATTGGCCGAAAACTTGCTATAAAAAAAATGATAAACGATTTGTTTTTCATTTGGATTTACCTTAATCTACTTTCAATGAAATGGAAAAAAACGGAATTCAGCTGATTCAATCATCATTTTAATTTGGCTTTTTTCTCATAATTGGTGATAAATTTGATTTTAAACAAACAAACGCACACACACAAAAGAGAAGAAAATTTTGGCTCGATATTTGAATAACGTGTTTTGAAGAAAAAGCCCGATGATGATGGTGGTAGTGAAAATAAATGATTCTAAAAATGGAACCGGAATGAATAAAATGAATGAATGAAAAAACTCACCATTCATCGGTGTGTGTGTGTGTGTGTGACCTCAAGCGACAGATTGATTTATAAAATATTATCGAATGCTAGTTTCTGATTTTCTTTCTGAAATTTTTTTTCGTTTTTTCAGAAAAAAAACTATAAATTTTATATATTCTTTATATACGACATACTACTGTGTCATCACTGTTTAATAATGGATGGAATTTTACCCTGAAGCAATTGAAACAAGTAAGAATCCTTTATTCTTCTTTCTTTCTTTTTTTGGAACGATCCATTCAACATAATAAGTTGGTTGTAATGGGCGCATACACACACACACTATAGATTTATGTAGATGATGATGATTATGACACCAATACAGTGTCATTTTTTTTACAATTTTTGAATTGGTGATATCATTCTTCCTTTTTCACTTTCTTTCTCTCTGTCATCATCATCATCATCATCGTCGTCGTTGTTGTTGTTGTTGTTAGATGTTAATATACAAACAAACAAAGAAGAAAGAAAGAATGAAAAAAAATCGGTTAAGGTTCGGGTTCGTAAGGAAAAGGAAGGAACCAACTAATTACTTTTAATCATATCCTTCCTCTATTGGCTCCTCACTCATTCACTTTCATCATCATCATCATCAATTTTTTTTTTTTGTTCGTCGGTTGATTTTTCAATATTTTTTTTCGCAATTTTCAGAATATAAAAAATTGACTATTATTTATTCAAAAATATTCTCTCTGTCAATTTCAATGACAATGATAACAAAATAGATAGATAGATGCCCTGATAATTATATCGCTTTAAAATATCGATATTTTATACTTACTTTGAGCCGGTGATGATGGTGTTGTTGGCGAATTCCATGATGATTTATAGCTAGATTCTGTAATAGAATAAAAATAGAAAGAAATGTGTGTGTGTGTGTGTATGAATTAGAATTGTTAAAATTTCTATATTTCAATATTAATCAAACCTGTAAACAACATGTTTGGCAATGATGATGATAATGATGGCGATGGTGATGTTGGTGTTGATGATGGCGATTCTGATGGTGTTGTGATCGCCGTTTTTAACGTTGTTATTGTAGCTGGAATCGTGGTTGGAAATGTTGATGAAAATGATGGCTGATTATTGTTATAATGATGATGATGATCAAGTAATGAAAGATGATGGTTATTTTGTTGATGATAAGAATCACTCCAGACTTTAAAAGTCGTCGTAGTCGTCGTCGTCGTCGTTATAGGCGTTGTTTTATCCAATGTATTCATCAAAAAAAAAGAGAAAAAATCACAATGAAAACATTCGTAAAAAAAAAAAAAAATTTTATTTTTAAAAATCACACAAACACTACACACAGACAGAAACACATATTTTCAAGCTGGTTTTTACATTCAAATTGATTTTACTTTTAGAATAATTTTCAATTGATTAGAATTGAACATGAATATAAAGAATATTTATATATGTGTTTTTTTTTTGGTATATAACAACAACCACGTTAGTGTGTACAATGATCAAGAATTTTTTTTTCTCATTCACAAAATATGTCTCTATACATATAACATATACTCATATATATATATATAATAATTCGTCCAATCAGATAATCGGATTTTAGTATGAAACCCGCCTACTTTAAATACTGACAATGATTAAATGAAAGGCGGAGCATGTGTTAACAGTTAACACACAGTTAACACAGTAAATTCAGTCAGTCTTTTTACTGTATTTTGAATTATCTATTCGACGGGTACTGTTTTTCAATTCGATCAATTCAGAAAATGAAAATGAACACTATACCGTCGCGTTTGTTTAACTGACTGACTGGCTTGCTGACTTTACTTTACTGAGTTCATCATTCGATTCGATTCGATTCGATTCAATTTGATTTTTGTTTCTCAATATATTCTCTATTTTGTTGTGTTATACACAAGTATATATCGTCATCAAATTGATGACTATGTTGTTGTTGTTGTTGTTTTTCGTTGTATGATTAAATTGATGATGATGTAGATGTTGATGATTGGCAAAAAAAAAAAAAAATTCTGTACTTGTTTTTCATGATAACATTAATTTAAATTACCATTATTATTATTATTATCATTATCATCGCCATCGTCAATTCTTTATAAAAAAAATGATAAAAAAAAACAGAAATAACAGAATCGATCAAGATCCATGTTCCAATTTCATCAGAATTTGATTATTTTTTGCTGCGTATTTGAGAAAAAATTTTACAAAAAAAAAATTTCCATTAGTCTGTTTTTTTGTTTGAAATTAAAATTTTCAATCAAAATCATGACAACATATATATATTGGTGATGGAACAAGAACAAAAAAAAAATTTCATTCTGAGAAATTTTTCATTGCAAATCGAATCGATTATTTTGTTTTGTTTTTTTTGTTACACAGAAAACAAAAATATATTCATATAATTGAATTTGATTGAATGATTGTATGCACAGATTATAATAAAGGTAATTATTTTGGATCGTTTGATTTTCAAGCATTATTTATATATATACAAATAAATCCATAAATGACGGCATTCATTGTATTGTTATCATGTGTTCATTTTATCTACTGAATTTTCAATTTTGAATGAATTAACCTTGTGCACGCACATAAGATGATCATTGATCAGAAATCATCATCATCATCATGGTAGTACTAATTTCGAAACAAAAAAAAAAAAATTTAAAAGCATGATGCATTTATGTGTGTATGGACACGTGAACATGGCTAATGTCACCAGTACCAGAGAGTAACCACACACACACACACAAACGAATTGTATGAAAATTACAAATGAATAAAAACAAGTAATCACAGAGAATAGAAAGAAAATTTTTTTTGTTCGGGTTGACATTGACATTTTATTATAAAAATAAATAAAAATATCAGAATCTATACGGGGGTATCATGGAGAGAGAAATGAATTTTGATTTTTTTTTCTCATTTTTGTTGCTTGCTTGCCATCATCATCGTCATCATCATCATCAATGGTAGTCGTCGATCAAAACATTATCATCATCATCATCATCATCATCGTTGACCGAAAAACTATTTTTTTCTGTCTGTCTCTCTCTCTCTCTCTCTCTCTGTCTCTAAATCATCTAACTGTTTTGATGTTTGTTTCATTTGAATTTATCTTTTCTTCTTTTTTTTTCTTGGTGAAACATTTTATTTTTGTCGTTACACACGTGTATGTTTTGTGTGTGTGTGTGTGTGTATGTTAAACACGTGCCTATTATCAAGTCTTTTCATTTTATTCATTGGTCTATATTGTTGTTGTTGTTGTTGTTGTTATGATTAATATCGAACAAGCAACCAACCAACCAACCAACCATTCAGCCGACATATAGATTGAATCTATACACCAAAAAAAAAAATAAGCATTGACATCTTCGATGTCGTTATTATCATCATCATCATCGTTTGTTTCGGTTCGTTTCTCTATATATATGTTTCATGATGAACTGAAATTTGTTTTTCTTTTTCCATTTAAAAGAATTGAAGATTGGCCAAAAAAAAAAAAGACAAGAAAAAAGAGAGATATCTATAGCTAATAACAATGATGAATGGAGATATTATTGGAGATTGTGTCATTTATTGAAAAACTCTCTCTCTCTCTCTAAATCATCTAACTGTTTTGATGTTTGTTTCATTTGAATTTATCTTTTCTTCTTTTTTTTTCTTGGTGAAACATTTTATTTTTGTCGTTACACACGTGTATGTTTTGTGTGTGTGTGTGTGTATGTTAAACACGTGCCTATTATCAAGTCTTTTCATTTTATTCATTGGTCTATATTGTTGTTGTTGTTATGATTAATATCGAACAAGCAACCAACCAACCAACCAACCATTCAGCCGACATATAGATTGAATCTATACACCAAAAAAAAAATAAGCATTGACATCTTCGATGTCGTTATTATCATCATCATCATCGTTTGTTTCGGTTCGTTTCTCTATATATATGTTTCATGATGAACTGAAATTTGTTTTTCTTTTTCCATTTAAAAGAATTGAAGATTGGCCAAAAAAGACAAGAAAAAAGAGAGATATCTATAGCTAATAACAATGATGATGATGATGACGATGATGATTCGTATAATGAAATGTGAAACGATCATAAATATAGAGAAGAGAGAGAGAGAGAGAGAGAGAGTGATGATGACCACCATTGTGAGATCCATTGACCATATTATCATTTGCCATTTGATACGGATACTAAATTGGCTCTATTCTTCTATTCTTTATTCGTTTTTTTTTCGATTGTCTTGTCGATTCGGTTTATTAATGTTGATGTTGATTTTGGATTCTCCACATCATCATCGTCATCATCATCATTGATCATTATGATCACATTATCATCATCAATCCATACTAAACAGATTCAATAACAGATCAATATGACTGAAACTGAATGAATGAATGAAAATTAAAATCATCAATTCATTGATTTTTTTTTGCATTCGTTTGTTTGTCATTATATTGTTGTTGTTGTTGTTGTTTTTGTCATTCAAATTCGATAATTATTGTCACTATCATTTTGAATATTTAATAAAAATCGTCGCCGATGACGCTAACTTTATTGTTGTTGTTGTTGTTGTTTCAGAACGGATATTCACAACAAAATGATACCACGTATTGTGATTCAGAAAAAAACAACAACAAATATGTGTGTATGCGTGTGTGTGTGTGTGTGTGTGTGTGTGTGTGTGTGGAAAATTAATCATCAAACAACAACAACAACAACATGGCACATGATACATCTGCCCAATCCCATTATAATGATTATTATTATCATCATCATCATCAAATATATAAATCTTTAATCAATTAATCATTTGACCTTGTACGTTGTTAACTGTTTATCTATTCATATATGGTCAGTATGTGTCCACGAATGCAAATTCAACGAGAAAAAAAAATGTACGCAACAACAATAACAAAACACAGGCGAAAAAATAATTTTTCTGCTGCTGTTTCGGTTATTTTTATTTTTATTTTTATTTTTTTTTCATCTCCCGTATTTCAATTTAATGATTTTTTTCTCGTTGAATTTCATTTCAACGTCATCATCATCATCATCATAAATTTTCCGTTTTTTCCGTACAAAAATAAGAAAGAGAAATAGAGAAAGTCAGTAATTTGATTGAACATTTTCATTAGAATTTTCGTTTTCTCTTTCTCTCTCTTTTTCTGTTTTTATTTGAAAATGAATCATGTGCAAATTCATGGTGCATATAATTGCAGAAAAAAAGAAGGAAAAATATTGACACAATTTTGCATTCTTCAGTCATAATTTGTATATATTAAATTGAATTTATCATCAGTAATTCATTCATTCATTCATTTATGTTCATAAATTGAATGAATAATTGGATTTTTTTTCGTGAATCTGTTTGTGTATGTGTGTGTGTGTGTGTGTGTGTGTGTGTGTGGAATCAATTTTCAAGTCGAACTGGTATTATTCACCAATAACAAAACAAAACAAAAAAAAACGAAAAAATTTGATTTCAATGAATGAAAATCAAAATCAAAATTTTTTTCCTCAATCGATTCTTTTTAGTGGCAACAGACCAAAAAAAAAAAACTTTCAAAACAACAGAATCCATTGGACAGCTGAGACCGAACATTATCAAGAAATGGTGTGAGAGAGAGAGAGAGAGAGAATAAAAAAAACCTAAATTCACAATCAAATTTTTTTTGTTTGTCGGGCCGCCCAAAATAAAAATCCAAGGGTGGCCCCGTTCGTTCGTTCGTTCGTTTGTTCATATATTCATCAAACAACCAACCCAATAATAATAACCTAATAATCGATAACAATAAAGATAAATTTAAATCTTTTAATTAAAGAATAAAAAAAAATCTGGAAAAATCTGTAAAAAAATATAAATAAAATCCGGTTCTATCGACAAAACACACACACCAAACACATTGTGTGAAAGAGAGAGAGAGAGAGAAAAAGCAAAATATAAAAAATCAACCACCTCCTGTGAGCGATAGAATCCATATTGATGATCAACGAAAGAAAGAGGAATCAAGCAACCAGCAAACCATTTTTTTTTTACCTTGGACTAACACACACACACACACACACCGAGAGACAAATAAATAGTGTGAATGAATCACGCCATCAATATTTTCATTCCTAATAACGGGATTTTGGGATTCGTTTCCATTTTCATAAGCATAAATTCTACCTTTTTGATTTACACATTCATTTATTATTTCACATTTTATGTGCAGGAACAAAAAATATGAAAAAAAAATCCTGATCTGATTGATCCTTTTTTTTCCAGACAGATCAACAACAACAAATACGATGATGATGATGATGATTAGAAAATCTCTTGGCCACTCCTTTTTTTTTTTTATTACACCATGTAATGATGACATCACCAAACCTTTTACCCACCAGAACAAAAAAAAAAAAAAAAAATGTGTCATTTTGATTAACTATCCTTTTTTTTCGGGGTTAGTTTTTGTTTTATTTGTTCTGTTCCATTTGTTCCATTTGTTTGTTTTGTTTTGAATAATAGTTATACAGCGGAAAAAAAGATGAATTCCTTTAACAACAACAACAACAATGATAAATCGTGGACATTTTTCACACACACACACACAATACACACAAAAAAACCAAATTGGCGATGAACTGATCATTCACTTACATCACAGAGATGACACACACACACACACACACACACAAAAACAAATAACCATAGAGAACTATGACATATATATACTAACCACAACACAAACACAGACATTTGTTGGTTAGTTATGTTCATTCATTCATTCATTCATTCACCACCAATTCACCATCATCATCATCATCAGGAAGGAAACGGAAAAAGTCGGGATATCCTTAAAAATTTCCCGAATCATCATCATCATCATCATCATTTTACCATCTTATAAACTTAATACACCATAATAATATACATCCATATACTAAATCTTGTATTACTACTTCTAGTTTTTTTTTATATATATGATGATGATTGCATCACACATACTTGTCAATGGAATATGATTCTCAAATTTTTTTTTTCTACTACATTCATTTTTTCACACCGGATCTTATTGTTTCATTATACCATTAGATTATTTTGTCCATAGATCGATCAATCGATATGTGTTTATGTAAAATTTTCATATCCAAAAAAAAAAAAAATACAAATACAAAAACAAATCGAGTGGTCAAGATTTATTGCTGTTGATACTGGATGATGATGATGATAATGGTCTTTTTTTTCACTAATTTTTTTTCATTGAAGCCAAATGATGAGAAAGATTCGTTTACATTTGAATATGTTTTTATTCAAAATGATTTTATTTTTGCCATTTCTTTTTTTTTCAATTCAACACAATGAATGAACCACTTTTAATTGAAACTGATTCGTTCCAGAAATGATCATAATAATGGCCATATACCATCATCATCATCATCATCATCATCATCAGCCCTGCAGCTTGTTTTATAATAATAATCGTCAGCATCACTTATCGATTTTGGATGCGGTTTTTTTCATTATTGTTGCCTTTTTTTTGGACTAATGGATCACGATGAATGTATTGAATTGGATTGGATAGATAAATAGATAGAGTTCCAAAACAACAACAACAACAACAACAACCACAATGAGAGAAACATAGAAAAACCATATCGAATTCAATTAGCCACAACACAGTCATTGAAATGGAAGCCAACCAAAAAAAAAACCATTCAAACTAAATGGAATGTAATCATCACAATGAAATGAAATGAAAAAAAAGAATATTTTCATATTCGATTCGGAATTCTATCTTCGCTATGGGGTGTGTGTGTGTGTGTGTGTGTGTGAGTGTGTGATGGGTAGTGTTGTTGTTGCTGTTGTCGAGTATAACAATAATAATAATCGTTATTATTTATTGTCTGTCTCTCTCTTTCTTTCGTTGAAACATGACCAAAATAAAGCAAGAAGAATCGTTGAAATAAAAAGCCATCAGCCATTAGAGAGAGAGAGAGCCATTTTTTCTGGATAGAAAAAGAAAACTTTGGATCCAATGAATTTGTTCATTCGTTCGTTCTGTTGTTGTTGTTGTTGATGATGAATTCACGCGATTCGTGTGAAACATCATCAATTGAATTCAATATAATTCGATATTTGATTGCCTTTAGGGGTTCTATGATTCTATTATATTGTTATTATTATTATTAATTCAAGTTGATGATGATTATGATGATTATGAATCAAATATTCAGTATGTTTTTTTTCAGGTTAGCAATAGTAGTCGATTAAAATAATAATCAGTGTTATAAGTGAATTAAACATATTGTGTCAAATTGTTAAAGTTAACCCAATCATCATCATCATCATCATCGTCGTCGTCGTCATTTAATCATGAAACACACAAACATACACGCGATATTTTCGTGTAAATAGATGACCTATGTATGACCATCTGTAAAATTGACAATGGCAATTTTAATGAATAATGTCCAAAGAAATAGAAAAGAATTTATTATTATTGTCCACGTGACTTATTGATGACGATTGATTGATTGATTGATTATTATTATTGAGAAAATATGTTGGAACAACGATGATGACGACGACGTAGAATGTCGTTTTTTCTGGACCAAAAAAAAAACGATAATTTTTGTTGTTACTAATCGAACTCAATCAAGCGACAATAGCACACACACACACAAAAAAAATCCATAGACATGTGTCCAATTCATTCTGAATGAGAATCGATGAAAATACAACATACACGCACACACACACATACACCTATTCTTCTAAAATGATGATTTGTAATTAGAATTTGAATCTCGGAAAACAAGATTGAAAACGAAAAAACGTTCGACACACACACACACATACATACCTAATTTGATGGTGTCGTCAGTCTTTTATGTTGGACCAATTGAGCATTCAATTCATTTTCATTCTTGTTTGCTTGGCTCATTCGTTTTTGAGTGAAAAAAAGAGGCGTTTGTCATCATCATCATCATCAACATCAGCGTATGAAAACATCGTATGTTTTTTTTTCTCTTTACAGAATTCATTCATTCCATTTTTTTCTAGTTTTTTTTTATTCTTTGTTCATTTGATGATGAATTGAAACGAAAATGAAACATTTTATGCTTGTCTTCTTTTTCATAGTCTTCATCAAAGTAAGTAAAAGTTAAGTGAACGTTTAAATAGAGATGTGTGTGTGTTTCATTTTTTTTTATCTAGCAAATTGAATCTGATGATGACGATGATGATTCAGATTTTAGCTGCAGTTATAGTTGATTGACATATACATTGAAAGTTTCAATTCAAGCAAAAATTTGTAACATCATATGGTTCACATGATACATTGTTATCGGTGATGATGATTGTGATTATGATGGTGTGGTGTGTGTGTGTGTGTGTGTGTCATTTTTGTCATTGTTGTTAACTTTTTTTTTTGAATTCATTATTTTTCATACGAATTTATTCATCATTTTTTTTTTGTTGAGCAAAAAAAAATTGATCATCATTGGAATATATTTTATAGGATCAAAGAAAGAATTCGAATTGAAAATGAATGTCAATAAATAATGAAAGCGATAGCGCCATCTATTTTGTTAACCTGTTATTAATTTTAATTTTTTTTTATTTCATAACAAATGTATTTCAACCAAAAAAAAAAACGTAAAACAAATAAATCGATTTTTCTTAGACAGACGAGATTAATAACTATAGTTGTAACTTGTTAAGAAGATTGCAATATTAAAGTGTCATCATTTTTTTTTTTTTGCTGTTATCTGATAGTGTTGCATCTTGATTGCATCAATCAATCAATCAATCATTTAATATTTGTTGTTTCATTCGATTAACGCCACCATCATTTGATGGTCTACAATATTTGTGTGTTTATTTTCGATCAATCATCGATAACCGAATTTTTTTTTTTTTTTTTTTGTTATTCATATTTTGAATAAATGGAAAAAAAGATTTTCCGTCCCGAATACAATCGATATATCGCGTCACTAGCAGCGTACATTTCTCGATTGTTTCGTTCATCACTCTCACTCTCTCTTGTTTCGAATATTTTTTTTTTTTGTGTTGTATTTTAATGTCGTTTTATTATATGCTTTCTGCATTTTTTTGCAATTGATGATTCTACTCCTGACAGATACACAAACACACACAAAGATTGCAATTGCAATAACTATTGCTTAAAAAACCGTTGTTGCTTTTTAATATTTATAATCATCATCATCATCATCGTTTCTATTTCTATACGGCTGTTTTTCTTTTCTTTACAATAAAAATATTCCTGCGTTCTTTATCATCATCATCATCATCATCATTTTCTTCAATTTCGGCTTTTGAATCCATATATATTGAATCGAATGTGAAATGTGAATGTATGATGATGGGCCACCACAGTTTTAAAGAGTCGACTCTTTTAAGAAAAAAAAATTGTTGAGAAAACAACAACAAGAATCACGATAATAATAATAATTTTGTTATTTTGTTAACATATAAAAACGAAGAAGAAAAAAAAGAAGAAGTGGAAAAATGACAACAACACCACGACTTTGGTAGTGGGGGCGAGAGATAGAGAACACCATTTTGATTTTTTTTTTATTCTTTTGTTTGCTCTAATTTACATAAAATTGTTTTTTTTTCATTTGAGTGACAGTAAAAGAACAACAAATGTGAAAAATTCTTCGATTCGTTGAAATTCCAAAAAAAAAAAAAAAAATCAATTCAACCGGTCAATTTTTGATTGAATGTGAAAATATCTTGATGATGATCAACAACAACAACATTGTCATCATCACTGGATTATGTTGACATTTTTATTTGCATTTATTATTTATTTTCGTTTTCTTTCTTGATCTCATTGAACATATCATCTCGGATATTATTTTTTTCATCAATCATATAGAAAAAAATTCATTCAACAACAATAATTTGAAATTATTCATCAAAAATCCAACAACAACAACATGGAAGCCGAATTTCATGATTATGAAAATAATGAAAAATGGCGAAAAATTTTCAAGGTTTGTATAATTACCATAATGATTGATAAAAAAAAAATTTTTTTCCTTTACACTTTATTTAGAATATGAATTCAATGTCGCAAATATTTTCAAGTAAAGAATCAAGAAAAATTGAGAATAAACCATTGAATCGTTATACTGATGTTGTACCATGTATGTATTAATTAATTAATTAATCAATCGATTGATTGAATAATAATGATATCAATTTTTTTTTCTTTAGATGATAAGACTCGTGTCAAATTGGAAAGATATAATTTCAATTATATAAACGCAAGCCATGTAGCCGTACCATTAGCTAATCGTAGATATATACTTACACAGGCAAGTAAAATCAAATTAATGAATGAATGAATGAAATAAAATTAATTTCATTTTTTTTTCTTTGATTTAATTACTGAAAAAATAGGGTCCCTTACCAAATACATCTGGTCATTTTTGGTTAATGGTTTGGGAACAAAAATCTAGAGCCATATTAATGCTTAATAATCTAATTGAATGTGGTAATATTAAATGCCATAAATATTGGCCCGATGGCCAAAACCGGAATGATGTTGATGAGCTATTTTTCGATGATGTTGGCCTAAAAGTTAAAGTCAAATCGGTGGAAAAATTTAATTTTTATATTCTAAGAACATTTATCCTAAGTGATTTACTGGTAAGTGTTTTTTTTCTTGAAATCAAATCAAATAATCTTTCATGTCATTACAATTTTTCTCATTCATCATTTCATAATGAATGATTTTATAGACTGAAACTTCAAAAGAGATTTTACATTTTCATTATACATCATGGCCAGATTTTGATCTACCACGAAGTTGTGATTCATTTTTAGAATTTTTATCTGCCGTTAGGCAATCAGGGTGTTTGGATAATATCGATGAACAACATGGACCACCTGTAATTCATTGCAGTGCTGGTATCGGAAGATCAGGAACGTTTGTTTTGGTCGATTCATGTCTTGTCATGGTAATATTTATTTGAAAACTAGAAAAATCTTATTCTCTTTTTTTGTTTTATTTGTTTATAGATAGAGAAAAATAAATGTCGAGATTCAATCAACATAATTGATGTATTATTAGATATTCGTACATATCGTATGGGTCTTATTCAAACATCTGATCAATTACGTTTCTCATTTATGGCCATAATTGAAGGCTCGAAACAAATGATCAACAACGACGAAATGAAGCATCCTATTCCACAACAACAGCAACAAAAACAACAGCCAACGAATAATATCAAAACTAATACATCATCAAATGTCAAAATCAAACGATCATTCGGTATTGTCGATGATAATGAAGACTATTCAGCCAATATTGACGATACTAACATTGTTTTTAATCATGATACAATCCTCTCGGATAACAATGTTATTAATGATTCATCTGATGATCAAGATGATGATGATTATGAAGAATTGATAAATGAAGAAGTTGTTGATGATAATGATGTTGATGATGATGATAATCAGAACGCTGTAAGAACTACTAACTCAACGCTTCCAAATAATGAGTTAAGCAGTAAAATCGATAATACTAATGATAAAAATCACAATGATATTGATGATGATGGGCTACTAATACGGCAAAGGAAAAAAGAACGTGAAGAAAAACGACGTAAAACAATGGAAACAATACAACGTATAAAACGAAAACAAAAAGAAATGGAAGAAAGGTTAATGTTTTATCAAAAAATTAATAAATATTTCAAAACATTTTCATTCTGTTTCGGTGTGGCCATCTGTATTGGGCTGGCTATCTATTTTAAAAAACAGAATGATGAAAATTTCTCTATCGTCGATAAATTATGATGATAATTCTGTCATTTCTTTTCCAACTATTCATATATTCATTTCTGGTGCCTTTTGTAAATATGTATCTTTTTATTTTTCTCAAAGGAACAACTACCAACAACAAAATTATACATTATTACTATTACTATGACGTATCATCATCATCATTTATAAATAGTTATCTTTTGTTTTGTTTTTTTTCATCTTTAAATTCACTTTTTTGCTTTATAAATTTTTTCAAAAAAAGAACAAAACAAGCAAACATCCATTCATTTTAATCTAATTTTTTTTTAATTTTCATTTCGAATGATGATTAAATGTTGAAGATGAACAAATATGCGAAAATTAACTTTTTTTTCATTTATTAACATTTTCTGCCTCTTTCTCTGTTGATCTATTTGGACAATTTCATTTACTTTTTTTTGCCAAAAGTTTATAATTTGAATTTTTTTTCTACTCATTTTATCCATTCTTTCTCTCTCTCTCTCTCTGAAATTAATAGAAAAAATTCAGGATCATCATCGTCACCAGTGATGAAAAAAATTCGACGATCAATTTAAACAAAACGATGGTCAACAACAGAATTGATATTTGGAATTCATTCGAATCGATTTTTTTTTTAGTTCAACCCCCTCCACTAAATTACAATAAAATAATTAGTGCCTTTGATCACAATCATATCACATCAACAGCATCCACTATATGAACAACATAATCTTGGCGAATCATCATTTATTTTTTCAAAACACTAATCGTCATATAATTTATACAAAATAAAAAACAATGACTCGTAATAAATTAATTATTTTCACATCACAATTGAAATTACACATTTGCATGTATGTCCATTTAACATGAAAGATTCATTCAGCCTCATTCGTAAAGCCATAGTAGTTGATTATTATGTGAAATTTTGTGAAATTCACATTTTGTTTCATTTTATAAATAAAAAAAATTTCTTACTGATTCATGATCAAAAATATTGATTAATTTTTTTTTTAATTCGAACAAGTTTATGATTGCAGATTTTTTTGAAATTTTTTTTTCACACAGTCCGTACGATAGCGTCCTCTAGTAATGAATTTGAGAGTCATGCTCATCAATGATACGCATGTCGAACGTTTTTGTTTATAACATTTCGGACCAACCCATTTTTAATTTGACCAATTTGTACGATGCTAGTTGATTTACACAAAATTTAAAAGGCAAAACTTTTAAAAGCCAAGTATATTATCAAAAGGGAATAATTCGTATGGATTTTTTTAACACAAAAAATGCAATATTATTGTCCATTTCAAATGGCTAACGATTATCATCGAAATTCAATCTAAATCGATTAATATTGTGTACAGTAACGTATTTTTGAACGTCTATGATTTCAAATATTTAAATTTCGCTCCAAATTTTGTCTCCTGCGGTGATGTTCCTGGCAACTTTTTTTGAGCCTTTTTGATTTTGGAAATATTATATTGTGTTAACATGGTAACGTCTTCGATGATGAACCCCAGATCAATTTGAACAATTTCATTTCTCATTTCAATTTTTATTTTGTAAAATTTGTATTAATAAATTAAAATAAAAAATAAATAAATTAGCCTGATGTTTTCATCATTTCATTCTCTGTAGACAATGTTACAAATGCCTACGTTTTGGCCATATAAATCTGAAATTGCAGAAATGCTCTTTGTCTTTTCTTAAAATTCCATGGTAATCATGAATCAAAACATGTACTCTTCATTTAGTCAAATGTCTAGTTGCTGAATTGTTTGTGGTTGAACCAACATAGGAAAAATAAGTCTGGTGCCGAAATAAATATCAATCATTCAGTCTTTAGTTTACCATAACCACATTGATTATGGATATTGAGCAAAGGTAAATTAAAATTCTGAAATTTGAAGTCTACGGTGACATTCATTGTGAATTCTAAATATCTTGAATCATCTTTATTCTGAATACAAGAAGCAGATATCATCAATTTCGCTAAATGGATTTTTTGGTTATAATTTTGTCCATCGCAACACCATTCCTAAATGTGCCATTGTTAACTGTTCTAGACCATGGTTTTATCTCAATGATTTTTTTCAATTTTAGTGATTTATTATGTTTTGGTTTTCCTTTATCGCTATATAATATGGAATAGAAGTTTCTTTTTATTAATAAAATTTCATTTCAATTGGAATTCTTTAATACTTATCATTGATGGTAAATCAACTTCAACGACTGTTTCTCAGAATATGTCCCTTTTCAGTTTATGGATTAAATCATTTCAAATGGCTAACGATTATCATCGAAATTCAATCTAAATCGATTAATTTTTGCAATTTCATCGTATAAACTATTTTTGTTCCTGCGTATTGATGGTATTGGTCGTTAAATCACTTGCGACATTGGAAAGTTGTCCCGTGTGTGTGTTTGTCATTCAGTGATTTTCTTTCATTGGGTTGTCTGTAACCAGAATGGAAATAAGTATTCAGCCCAAAGCTATATACCCACACACACACCATGTGTTGTTGTTGGTCGGTCACGAACTTGAACAAAATTCATCCAAACAACAGGATAGGTACGCGCACTAAATAAAGCAGAAAATCTATCTGAAAACAAGGACATTGTGCATGTATTTTTGGGGTTCATTGTATGGTTTCTCTGGCTTTTCAGGTTCATTGTTTTGTCGTTCGAATCGAATTTATGTCTACCACTGGATCATAATAATTCAATTGGAAAATTATAACTAAAAATTAGGAAAACATTGAAAATTATCATTTTAATCATTTTAATTAAATTAAATTTCATTTTATAATTAAAACAAAAAAAAATCACGACTATCTGATTGAATTGTATGTTTGAAATATGGAATTAGGCCAAGATGTGTGTTATGCATTCGAATGAGATCAATTGTATTGACTATTTGAAACAGAAACAAAAAAAAACTAGATTAGAGAATCAGTCAATAAGAAAGAGAATCCAGAATTACAGACAGAAGATAGAGTTAGACCAAAGAAAATATTGTATATAGTTCAAGAATATTTTGTTTTTTGGGTGTGGATTTGAGTATTTGTTCTATTTGAGAAAGTTTGAGTATTCGATGTGTGTTTGTGTGTCTTTCGTCGTGGCACAAGATGAAATCCAATTGAATCGACAACTATTTTGAGACATAATAAACAGAAAAAAGTGGAATTTGTTTGACAGCCATTGGTTATTGCGGATGATCATAAATATGCGAATCTTTTTTCATTTCTCCTGTCCATGGCTAATTTTAATTAGAAATAGATCGACATTATTTTTCTCAGTGAAAAATCTTTAAATCGAAATTTGAGACAAACCTGCATATTTTCATCCAGTGGCATTGTAGCATATGCAGTCGGAAATATATTGCCTTGTTCGGTCATTATTAGTGGTTTGCCACTGACTTTATCAAAATCAGCATATCTTGGCGCCGTATTATATCCGGTAAATTGTTTGCTTGCACTCTCTAGGATAACTAGTGAAATTGAGGATAAAAGATTAAAAATGTCAATCTGTTGATTGAAATAACCGATGAACAATAACTTACGACTACTGGCAGCTGCTCGATGTTTCGCACGACGGACACAGACATATGCAATGACCATAATGATGACTACGATTACGAATGCAGTCAGTATTGGAATAGTGAATTCTGGTTGCATATAATATGGACTTTCATAGTAGTGGTTCATCAATTTTCCTTGGAAATTCAATCGTTCTGTTGAAATCAAAAAATCAGAATTTGGGTGAAATTTGAATAACAGAAAAAAAACGAAACAAACCTCCAATAGTTTTAGTGTTGACAATATTACTTGGATCAGAGAAACCGAAACGATTAACAGCCGTCACAAATATTCGATAATTAGTGCCACTTTCCAGATTGACCAATGTATGCGTATAGATTGGCATCGATGATTGTTCGATCGATGGAGCTGATGTTGCCAACGAACTAAATGGTATTTCATGCCATTTTGGTTCACCTTCTTTTGATATTGTAACGTATAGCTAATGATTGAGCTGATCGAATCCCGATTATCTCGTTGATGCCATCGTAATGAAATTGAATTTGTCGTCGTTTCCGTTGCAATTAGGTGTTGTGCAGGTGGTAGATCACCATCAAGAGTACGCGCCAGTAATACATGAGATTGTGGTCCACTACCGGCCATATTATAGGCTTTGATAACGATTTCATACTCCGTACCACGCAATAGGTCACGTAGAAAATATTCATAAACTTCACTTTCGATTTGATTGGCTTCCGTGTATTTGGAATCAATGGATTTCAATGTATAAGCTGTATTTGTATCGTCGGCTTTTCGGAAACCAACATAATAACCTTTGATCAGGCCATTCCAGAATTCTTTTGGTGGTGCACGCCATGTAATCCGAATTGTAGTCGGTCCTTTTGGTTCGACATTTATATCATTCGGTGGTGCACTTGGTTCCTCTTCACCAGTAAAAAATGGCACCGTTTCCGATGGTTGACTACGTCCAACCTCGTTTTCGGCAATAACGGACAACTCATAGGACAATCCAGGATTGAGATTTTTGATCAAATACGATGTCTGCGAACTGCTAACATTTACTTCATGCAATCGATGCGGAGCACTTTGTCGACGCCAATAATGTATAAGATATCGGATGACAGGTGAATTACCATTCTGAGGATGACGCCATGAAACACTGGCTGAACGTGACCATACTTCATTGATTTTAACGTTAACCGGTGAACTTGGTTCTTCTACCACTGATAATTTTATGGTTCGATCATCACGACCATGCTCATTTTCAGCGTCGCATTTATATATTGCGCCATCACTTTTCTGCACCGGTCGAATTGATAGTTCAGAAATGACACCTTGACTGGTGGAGAAATCCGTCATTTCATAATGATGACTCAACCGGTCCAATTTAATTCCATCTTTTGTCCAACGTATTGTGATCGGTCGATCACCGGTAGCGTTGCATTTCATGACAATTATATCGCCTTTTTTCGCTTGTAATGAACTGTATTTTTCATCAAATCTCGCCGGTACTTCAAATCATCAATTAAAATCACTGAAAATCTTTGGACGAATTCGCTTACCATTATAAGAGATGGTGATACTTTTCCGTAATGCCTCACCGATGCCATTATCAGCCACACATTCGAAAGTCAATGTTTGTCGACCATTTTTTTCATTTTTGATCAATTTACTCAGATCCAGAATTTCATTTTCGATCGTTTTACCTGACGGTGTAATCCAATTGATTTTCGGTTTCGGTAGACCATCGGCCAAACATTCCACGGAATATTCTTCACCCATACGTAGATTCACGTCTTTCGGCTCTTTGATCCAGCTAGGTGGAACTGGAAAAAAATAAATTCAAATTGATAATTTGAAAAATGTTAGTTAATCTCGACAATAAAACATTCGAAAAGCAATCGTGGCCCTGTTCTTGATCATTAGACACCTTGAACACTCAGATATGAACTTTGGCTATCAAAACCGCCTTGATTATGGACTGAACAAGTATAATTTCCCGAATCATCAGATATTAGATTTTCAATCAATAAAATAGACAAGAGATTATCTTTTCGGATCTGCACATGGTCGTTTTCGGGGATTTCACGGCCATTTTTCATCCAATTAAATGAAAACGGTGAATCACCGAGAATAGGCAGACAATTCAAAAATAAACGAGAGCCTTGTACTTGTGTTTGAAAAGAACTCCATGTATTCAATACAACAGGATTCTGGTGAGAAATTGAAATTAGTAAAAAAACCCAAATGTTTCGCAATGAAAACATTTTTGTCAACAGTGAAATATTTCAATGGTCAAGAATGTATTTGTCATCAATGTTAGGTTTTAAAAGATAAATAAAAATTTTCCCAACAATAGCGCCACGATTTGAGTGAGGAACAAATGATCAAATCAAACCAAACCTTTAACCAAAATATTGGTGGCAATCGAATCTTGACCATATTGATTTTTCGCATGACATTCATATTTCCCACTATCACTTGTTTGAACATTTGATAGTGAAAGCTGTGAGATTCGATCTTGATTATCAATTTTTAGATTTAATCGTTCCATAACTTTTTCATCATTTCGATACCAATCAAAAAAAATTGGTCTCGATCCACTGATCAATGCACACGTTAATGGGTAGGTCATATTTTCAACCAATTCATGTAGATCACCATTAAATGGCATCAATTTCGGTGGACCAGAAATGGCGATTGAAATTATGGAGAAAAATGTGAAAAATTTCAAGAAAAACATTTTCGTCATTCAACGATAAACATGTGTTATGATTGAAAGATTTCAAAGACTGAAAATTTACTACCGAAAATGTAGAAATTGGAATAGCCAGATAAATTTAAAATAAGCAACATTAGCGCCGACTTTTAACCATGAACTCAACATAGTTTCATCGATATGATTTTTTCCTCGTCAAACCTTTTATAACAAGTTGTGTGGATGTCGATGTACTTCCATGAGGATTTTTAGCGACACATTCATAAATCCCCGAATCAGTGATGGCTAAATTTTTTATGGATAGCAAAGAATAAAGAATAGTATTATCGATACGAATATTTCCGTTTGTCGATAATTTATGGCCATCTTTCATCCATTCAAAAACACCGAAGAACCAGATGCTAAACTGCAGACTACAGTAAAAGTGGATTTATCCACAAGTTCTAAGCGTTTTTGTAGTGGAACCAATTTGGGCTCATCTAATGAGAGAGAAAAAAAGTTTAGAAATTTTTTTTTTTTTAAATAAATATCAACAAACCTGCGATGACGAAATTTAAGGTAAAACACAAGAAAATAGCTGAAAACAACATTTTGAACAACACTACTGGAATGGATTCAAACGAATGAAACACAATGATGATGAACACAAACACGAAAAAAATTAGTGTGAAAAAATCGACAAATTCAAGCAGATAGCGCCAACTTTTAACCACGAATAAAAACTCAATGAAACAGAAAAAATAAACCTTTTACATTCAGTCGAAAAATCATGCTATCAGTTCCGTAAGCATTACGGACTTGGCATGCATAACGGCCAGAATCATTTCTGTTGGTTGTTTGAATTTTTAATAACGAAAATTGCTGATTAATTTCAATTTTCAAATTGCTTGTTTCACCAAGTGGTTGATCATCTTTAAGCCAGGTGAAAAACATGGGTTCAGAACCAGAAATGATACTACAACTCAACAGTTGAAACGCATTTGCAATCGGTTCAACGTCAACAAGGACATTTTTATTGATTTTAGGTGGATCTACAAAATTTTAAAATTGAAAAAAAATTAATTTCAAGTTTCGCAAATTCATTAATCGAAAATGAACATTACCTTGAGCAAGTCCAAGCGAGATGAAAAAGCTGAACAAAATAAATATTCGAAACATTATCAAAAAATTGGCAAAAAAACACCTCCGATGTTTCACAATAGATTTTTTTTGCAATGGAATAAGAAATAAAACACAGAAAAACAGTATTTCTTTTCAACAACAAATCTAGCGACACGTTTTGTTCAAATTTATGACTATTTCTTATAGTAGTCACCTTTAACTTGAAGCATCGACCATTGTGAATCGATACCAAAACGATTCTGTACCGTACAGGAGTAATTTCCTGCATCATCAATTTGAATATTTTTGATGGTAATCATTGAAAAATCATCATCAACATCAATTTTGATTCGTGAATCCGACGATTGTAGAATGGAGTGGCCATTTTTTGTCCAAAAAAATTTCAATGGCGATATTCCATTCATTTTGTTACACATTAAAACAAATCGAGAATTCATGGGTTGTGAGTATAAATTTTTAAATTCAACCAAACGAGGAGCATCTATTTTTTACGGGGAAAAATTGGAAAAGTCACACAAAATCAATTTAAAATAACTGAAAAGCTTACCATTAGCGATTACAAAGTTTTGATACGCTAACAGCAAATCAAAAACGACAAAAATGAATGGCCAAAACATTTTTAAAACACAAACACGAAAATCAACAGAAGAGACAAATAAACCGATTGATGTGAAATGTGCAAAGGAATTGCCATTGATTTTTTCCGAACAAAAAAAAATTTATCAATCAAACAAATTGTGATGATATAAGCGCAACCTTTTGGTGGAAAAAGAATGAAACGGCTACAATCATAATCTCTTGTGTTTTTGGGTCAAACAAAAAAAAATTGTTTCCGGTTCTCTCATTTCCGAAAACAATGTTATTTGATCAACCACGAAATTAATGATTGAAATAAAATTGAGAAAAAATCATTAGAATCGATAGAGTGTGACAAGTAATGTAATCATCATCATTGTATTATAATTGCAAACCTTTAACATCAAATTGTGACCATTGTGAATCTAGGCCAAATGCATTGGTCACTACACATGAATAGTTTCCCGAATCCGAAATGGAAACATCATTAACGGTTAGTTGAGTGAATGAACTCTTTTTTTCAATCGAATAACGATCCATATCAAAACGATGTGAATCTTTCTCAATATCATGGCCATCTTTTAACCATCTGAATATTAATGGTTTTGATCCTTTAATGGAATTACATATGAGAACAAGCAATGAACCAGCTGGTTGACTTTGATAATTTGATTGTGATTTTAAAAGTTCAGGCCGATCTTGATTAGCGAAAACCAAAGTGAAAATGAATACAAAAATAATCGGAAAAAAATTGACGAAAACTGAAGCCATGGTTCAAACACAACGAATCACAATCAACGAATGGACAATGAATGAATACAAATACACAAATCTAGAATCATTGATTTGGCTTCTTTTTCTTTTTGTAACCAAAGAAATTGAGCGCCATCAATGAGCCTATAAGCTCATCAATAATGATGAAGAGACACACATTCATCAGTGAAATGTGCAATTTCCGTTTCGTTGGAGAATGTTTCAAATGTAACTAAAAAAAATAAATAAATAACCAATCGCAAACCTTGAACAAATAATTCGGTCGAAGTTGAATCCATACCATATTGATTCTGTGCCGTACACGTATACCTTCCAGAATCATTACGTTTTATCTCTTTCAATATCATCATTGAAGAATGGCTACTTTGATCCATTTGAAATTGTTGTTCGGAAATTTTATGACCATTTTTTGACCAATAAAACCGGACTGGCTTTATGCCTGAAACAAGATTACAGGCCAACGTATGATCAAAATTTTCCTGCAATTCAATACGTTTTGGTAGATCAAGTAATTTTGGTGATGAATAGCCTGATTTTAATGATCGAAAATTAAATTGAAAAATACTCAGAAGAAGTAATTTAACAAATAAAGACAAATTTACTTGTTTCAATCGAATTCGGTGATAATAAAAACAAAATAACGACACTGATGATAATAAAATTTGAAAATGATGCCATTGTTTTTCAATTATTCGATGGAACGAATGAATGCAATCACTTTTCTCTACAACTGAATCACACGATTCAACAATGAGGAAAAAAAATCAACATCTGAATAAAAATTTCAAAAATCTGGCATTACGAGCGCCATCCGTATATCCGAATAACAAAAAAAAAATGATACCTTTAACTTGAAGCAATGTCCATTGAACATCGATACCGAATGGATTGCTGACTACACAGGAATAATTTCCTGAATCATTCGGTTTTAATTCCTGTATCATTAACACAGAAAACGAAGGTTTATTTTCGATTGATACATGATGATGATGATTTTCACGTTCAATTTCAATGTTATCTCGGAACCATTTGAATGTAATCGGGCGGGAACCAGCGAAAATTGGACACATTAAATTCAACACTGAGCCTTGTGGTTGGCTCATATGTGTTGAAACTATTTTGGAAATGATTGGTGGACCATTTGATGATGATGCACCAATAGTGGTGATATAAATTGAAAAACACAAAATAAAAAATGTCAAAACACAATTCATTTTGGCACAATTCTTGATTGGAATCTCAATATGACGAGTGAGAGAGAGAGAGAAAAATAAACTGAAATCAAGTTAGGATAGAAAAATTCAAATTGAACACATCAAAAGCGCCAACTATTGGTTTGTGTTGAATACGATGATGAAATATTTCAACACTTGATGGTTGGAAGATTTTTTTTAAAAATCAACCACCGCCATTATCAAAGCATACAAACCTTGTATAATGAGCTTAGTGCTAGTAGTATCAATGCCTTCAACGTTTTTTACACGACATGTATAAGTTGCCATATCGTTTATGGTCAAACGTTTAAATGTTAATGTTGACCATGTTTCAAAATGGTCAATTTTATATTCCGACGAATGGCCAGTGGCTACGAGTGGATGATTATCTTTTAGCCATTCAAAGAATATTGGTTTCGATTCCGATATGGCAAGACATTGAAGTATATATGAAAAATTTTCTCTAAGTTGAATTTCCGATGGCAATTTCATTACCGATGGTTTAGCTAGCGGGAAAAAAAATTTTTTGAATATCAACCAATGAAATTCAACAGACAAAAATCATTTAAATTACCCGAATCAATAGATATGAAAAATGGTAAAAATAGAAAACAAAACAAACAAATTCTTATGGCCATCATTACAATCAATTGAGAATGGACAATATCAAGTCACAAATATCAACACACACACAGTGTGTGCATGCAAGAAAAATGTTGATCAAAGAAATGTTTCAATTTTTCAAAAACAATCAAAAAACACTGCAGAATTAGCGCCATATTTCGGCCAAATAATCAAATCAAAATTTTATGATGATTCAATTCAATGTAATGCAAACCTGTTACATCTAGATGAAAGAAAAGTTTATCGAAACCAAATTGATTGGTTACAATGCATGAATAATTGCCAATGTCTTCGACATCAATGTCGTACAATGTCAGCAATGAATAGATATCTTTCGATTCAATTCTAGATCGTTTATGATCTCGTAGTTCGACATTATTTCTATGCCATTGGAATCGGAAAGGTTTCGTTCCTTTTGCTACATTACAATTGAACACTATGTTTGATCCTTTCACTGAATTAAATCGATCAAGTTGTTTCAACAATAATGGTGATTCTAGGTGATAAATATAAATGAGAAAAATCAATTCAAGTCAAATGAATTCAATCAATTTAAACTTACCATTTGCTTCAATAAATATCGTTTCGAATATTAACAAAATGATGATTTGAATACACCACTTAAAAAACTGACAAAACATTTTGAAAAAATGCCTTATGATTATTTGTGATGAACAGACAGAGAGACAGTGAAAACACTCAATCGATGGTTAATTTAAATATAAAAAAATTAATGATTCAAAACTGAATCAATAGCGCCGCGTTTTGGCCGAAAACATGATCAAAAACAGACAAACTACCTTTCACCTGGAGCCATGTCCATTGAATATCGAAGCCGAATGGATTGCTGACAACACAGGAATAATTTCCATAATCAGAAGCTTTCAATTGTGAAATGGTTAAAAATGATAGAAAATTATCCGTTTTAATCTGATATGATAAATCCGGATTCGTATGTCGAAGTAATTCTTGTTCATTTTTAAACCATTTGAACGATAATGGCATTGAACCACTGATAACCGAACAAGGAATTGTCAATACTGATCCTTCAGATTGACTTAATTCTGTTGTAAATGATTTAGAAATTTGAGGTGCATCTAAGGGAAAAACAAGAGATTTTTATCAGAAACGTAAAACCGGAAAAATTGTCCAACCTTTTGATGCAAAAATAACCGTAAATGAAATGAAGAAAAATAGCAACAATTTAAACATTGTGAATGTTTTTAAACATCTCACAATACGACAAAAACAAAATGATAATCAACTCAAGCCTTGGAGAGAATCGAAGATAACCAGAAAAAATAATGCATTAAAAGGGCCACCTATTGGTCAAGTAAATCACGATTATAATAAATAGAAAATCAAACCTTGTATGATAAGCTTGGTTGTAATCGAATCAGAACCATAAACATTTCTGGCATTACAAGTATAAGTTCCGGTATCATTTGAATTAAGACGTTTGAATACAATCGATGACATTGTATCATAATTATCGATTTTGTACTCGGTCGACGATAATTTTTGATGATCATCCTTGTACCATTCAAAGAAAATTGGTGTCGATCCGGATAAAATGGAACACGGTAATATGTACGATGCATTTGCCCAAAGTTTGATTTCTGATGCAGGAAATTTACTCAAATTGGGCTTTGCTAAAATCATAAAAAATTATTTAGAAATTGTCACTGGATAAATCCAAATGAATTACCGGCATCAATTGAATGGAAATAAAAAGTTGAAAAAATCACCGTTATTAAAATTATGTCATAGCATAGCCATGACGTTCAACAACAACAACTCATGTTCAACAACAAGAAAAGTATTTCAGTTCAATCAAACCATTTCAATCGAAAAAATTTTGAAAATCCCAGTGGATAATGGCAATATTAGCGCCACCTTTTGGCCGATAAAAACATTGAAAAAATTATTCAAACCTGTGACGGTTAGTTGAATCCACAGTTTATCGAATCCGAATTTATTGGTAACAACACAAGAATAATTTCCACGATCATTTGAATCAATATTTCTTAATGTGTAGAGGGAAAAAATATCTTTAGTTTCGATTGTCGATCGTCCAGTATTGAATAATTCAACACCATTCTTAAACCATTGGAACCGAAATGGTTTACTGCCTTTGGCAACATTACAAGTCAACACAAGATCTGAACCTTTGGTTTGTTCATGTTGATTTTGTGAATAAAGTTTAACGAGAACCGGAGATTCTAGAATTGAAAAAATGAATTAATTCAAGCTGAAAATGATTGACAAATAGACTTACCATCACTGTGAACAGATGAAATCTGCAATAAAATCCAGATAAACAAAACAAAAAATTTGAAAACCAAATTCAACATTTTGAATGAATTTCGTGTGATCAGAACAAATGTAAAGCCAGTATTTTGATCGTAATCAAAAGGAAAATTTCAAAACCAAGATTTCGAAACAGAATTAGCGCCACGTTTTGGTGGAAATTAAGAACAGAGAATTTTTTTTAGTTAATTTCAAACCTTGAACTTGAAGTAATGACCATTGTGCATCGAATCCATCATCATTGATAACCGTACAAGAATAATTGCCCGAATCGTTCAATTCGATTTCCGAAATCGTGAGAATAGAATAACTGTGCTCAGTTTTAATTTGAATTCGATCTAATTGCATCGATTGTTTATTAATGGTTAAACCATTCTTCAGCCATTGAAATCGTAACGGGTGAGATCCAATATATGCAGCACAATTCAGAACAAAAGATGAATCTTTTGGTTGAATAATTTCATTATGAAATCTTGTCACTTTGGGAGCCACTGAAATTGAAAAATTCAAATATCATGAATCCATCAACAATAATTAATCTGATTCAATGAAAAAAAACATACCACCAGAATGAACAGATTTTGATAAAATTAACAAACAAATTGACTGGATAATCATTTTTCAAACATAAAAACAACATTCTCACCACTCAGGAATGAAATAGACCGATGGATAAATAAATTCAGAATCCATGGCCACACGAGAAAGAAATTGGAATTCAAATCAAATCAAGATTGGAGCGCCATATTTTGGCCAAAAATACAGATACCTTTGATCAGTAGTCTAGTCGATGTTTGAATGCTGGCCGAATGCATTTTTAGCCAAACTTACTACATTCAATTCGTATGATAATGGTCAATGACCAAACATAAATTGTCGAAATAAACAACAAAATGAATTCGGAATAATTTTCTCGATTTTTCTGTCAAAAAAAAATTATCCAAAAAAAAAATTCGAATTTTTTTTAGTTTATTCTCTTCTACAATAGATGGCTCTATAGTAGTCCATAATGTGGCTTCAAATGAATGAACTTGAAAGAATTCGAATTAAAAAATGATGATTTTGTTGCAGCACTTCATTGGACAGTAATTTTTCGGTTATTTTTTTTGCGATTTTGTCAAAACATTTATTTTTTTCATATTAACCGAGAAAAAGAGAAAGATAGAGACTAGTAGTAATATTAGTATGGGATCTATTATAATCGTTTTTTTTTCTTTTGTTTTTGATTTTACAATTTGAAGATCATGTTTATGTTTAAATTGTATATATTGTTGTGTGTGTGTGTGTGTTTGATGTGTGATTAGAGATGAGAAAAAAAAAGAAATTTTTTTTTTTCGTTTACAAACACATGAAGAATAATAACAAAAAACAGATTTATAAATTTTTTTCTTCTTTTCCTTTGCGAAAATTCATTTCAAATTCTAATTAATGGGCACTGGATCCGGTATCAATGATGTAAACAATGAAGTGATAAACATCCATATAAATCTAAGACCAGAATAATATCGGCTATCATCATCTTGTTGTTGTTGTTGTTGTTGCTGCTGATTATTATTATTGTTGTTGTTGTGGTTGTTTTCACCATTTTGTGATTCATCAATTAAATCTGCTTGATTATTGATTCGATCATTATTGACTGGATGTTGATTATTATTATTTCGATCATGATTAATTCGAACATCATTATTATTTCTTCTTCCATTATGATTAGCAGCAGCCGGATGTAAACCATTTAGAAGATTTTTATAAAAATAGATAATCAAAAAGATTGACATAAACAAAACCAAACGATTCAATGATGAATAGAAATAAATGATGCTTAACATGATGACAGCTTTTGAAAATGAATACATCCAATCTGTCCAATCACGATTCATGATAAGATCATCATTATTATCTATTGCCGCTACTTGCGGTTGTTGTCGTTGTTGTTGTTGTTGTGGTCGATTAATTCGATTATCATTATCCAAATTGTTGTTGATGTTATTGGCCACATTGCTATTCGATGTTTCATTGTTGATGGAATTGGAACGTTGTTGATCAATTACAGGCTGAAATGATTGCATATATGCATTAGTGAATGCAGCATATGATACTAAATCAATTGGCGGTGTTGAAAGAAAATAATAGCTCATATATTGATAATATTGATTCATCAACATCTGATACGATTGTTGCATCAACATATTATCTGGTCCCATTTGAATGTTCAATTGATTAAATTGATTCCATGCTGTGGTTGGCGTTGGCATTGTTGTGGCTGCTGTTGTTGATGATGAGCTAGTACTTGCTGTTGGAATAGCATCCAATGACCAACTATTCGATGATGATGATGATGATGATCCATTTGTTTCATTGGTCATATTTACCTTATCATTCGTAGACAAATGTTTTTGTGGACAGACCAGATGAAAAATGAATGTATTTTGAGAACGATCATCACCATTCGAACATGATGAATCCGACAGTTTAACAATGTTTGTCAACAATTGGTTATCCTTTAGTAAATGACCGGAATAGATGATTCTTTGATCGGTTATTTTCTATTTAACAAAAAAAAAAATTTCAATTTATTGATTTGAATATTTAATATATCAAAATTTATTAAAATTACCGGTTTGGATGGATAATGGACGCTAAGATGTTTTTTCAGATCCAAAATTGACCATGAAAGTTGACAATCAATTTTGACATCTTCATATTTTTGATTAGAAGCTTTGATAACCAGACATACGTCGTCTTCAATCATCCTGTTGTCGTCGTTTTTTTTTATTATCCAATCAATCACCAATGATCTATCAATAATCAAACAGTGAAAATAAATTATAAAACTATAATATTATATCGTTTATAAGCAAAACAAAATAATATAATTCGATCCAATCCAATTAATCCAAACAACAATCCAAAATGATGATGATGATGATGATGATGACGTTGTTTTAATTTAATTATGATTTTGATGGTGATAATATATCATATATTTATGGCAAATCTGGCAAATCAATAATGTTTAGTTGATTATCAAATTTTTTTTCGATGATATTGGCTCATAACATTGCCGCTGCCATAATACAGTATATACATCAAAATACAGCTGTAATAAGCTCATTCATCAGTTTGTTATATATGTTGCTGATGTTGTGGCCAAATATGATTGGCTATTTTTCTCTCCAACCACACACACACACACACACTATTAGTAAATTACATTAAGCGCCATCTATTGTCAAAATAATTTTTTCAATGAAATGATTTAATTTTTTTATCCTATCATTTATGATTGGCTCAAAATTTACGCGATGTTGTGGCATGCTTTCTTTTTTTTCTCGTTCTCGCTCTCTTTCTTTCTGCAGTTGTTCAATGCTTCCGCTCTATCTTTTTGTCCACTGTTTCACGTGTATTTTTTGATATTTCTGCGATTATTTCCTGAAATTCCAACAAAATGGGTCGTATGCATGCACCTGGGTATGTTATTTTGATCTAAGATAATTTTAAAATGTTTTACTAATTGAAAAATGTCTATTTTTTCCATAAATTTCAAAGCAAGGGTATATCCCAATCAGCTTTACCATATCGTCGCAGTGTACCAAGCGTAAGTTGAATATATTTTTTTGATTTTGAATCGATTTTATTCATATTTTGATTGTTATTTTAGTGGCTCAAATTGACGACTGATGATGTAGTTGATCATATCTCGAAATTGGCAAAGAAAGGCATGCGACCATCACAAATTGGTGTTATGCTTAGAGATTGGTATGGTGTTGCTCAGGTTCGTTGGGTGACTGGTAACAAAATTTTGCGTATTCTTAAGAAACGAGGCCTAGCACCATCATTGCCCGAAGATTTATATTATTTGATCAAAAAAGCTGTTGCCATTCGTAAACATTTGGAACGAAACAGGAAAGATAAAGATGCCAAATTTCGATTGATTTTGGTGGAAAGCCGTATTCATCGTTTGGCTCGTTATTATAAAACCAAAAGTGTGCTTGCACCAAATTGGCGATACGAATCATCGACCGCTTCAGCATTGGTTGCATAGATTTAAGAAATAATTTTTTTTTTTTCATTTATCTTTTGACAACAACAACAACAACTACAACAAAAAAAATAAAGACATTTTTATTGCGATTTTTTGATTCTTGGATTTTTTCGTTTAGTCGTAGAATCAATAACATTAACATTATTCGATTTGATTACAACATTAGGTTTCCTATTTTGATACATAAATTGTATAGTGTTTTTTAATAAAAATCTCCAGAAAGTCCAAACAGTTAGAATAATTATAGCACCAATCCATGAATATAGAACATGTTTAGGTAATGGCTTCGTAATTACTTCAAAATCAAATTTGAGTATTATCAACAGTTCGGTTATTATGATTGCAATCAACACCCAAGATTGACGACCAAATTTAGTGCAATCTCTGCACAAATGATGAACAAATGTGTGTTATTCTATTGTGTTACAATGAGAAAAAAAATGTTTGAACTTACGGATCATCTAGATATTGAAACGTTTCTCGTAATGCGACAGCACCGGAAAATACCAACAATATTAATCGCATGAGATTTAAGGCATGTGGAGGTTCTAACCATAGAACGTATTTTAAATAAAAAGTATTCAACTCGGCTACCAACATCTGAAAAAGGAATTGTTTTGAAAAATTATTTTCTAACCATTATAATTATCATTCATTTACCGTAATGATGAGCAATAATGTGGCAATCCAACGATCAAAACTTGAAAATGGACGCCAATCAAATTGAAGCCAACTGTGTGGCCCAAATTGAGCAACAATTCGTTTCAATTTTCCACGATATGTAGGAATATTCCATAGACCACGCCAATCATATGGTTTCATGTATAAGTATTTGAGTGATAACATTCCTAAATAGATTCCGGATCCATTACAAATCAATGCATCAAGAATCCACTGAAATGAAAATGTGTTATATATATTTTCAATGATTATTTATATTAGACATACATGATCCCACCAGCATTCACTGAAATTTGGTAGCTGATGTTCTAAAGTATATTCTAATAATTCAAACATTATGCTAATGACTGTACATAGCCACCAATCTCTTATCATCAAAGTTTTGAGCCACCATCCGAAAAAATGTGTTGGAACGAAAATATCAAGCTTATCTTTTACATTATGAAAAGGATCATCTGGTTTGTCTTTATCATATATTCTACAATTACCACCATAATCTTTTTCCATTAACGGTTTTCCAAGTGATGGATCAATATGTGTCAATAATTTACGGGCATCGTCAGGTGTCTGTAAATCAAAAAAAAAAATAATTCATGATAATGTTTAATCTGATATACTTACTTGAAATAAAATATAAATAAGTGAGAGCTCATAGATAATTGTCAAACATAGAACCAATCTCCATAAAGCTGAAAATCATGAAAAGATTAACAAAACAATTTTTTCGGAATATTCGACCTACCAGGATGTGGACGTATAAATGGACCGTCTGGTATTTGTGTTATACCAAAAAATATGAACACCAAAACAACAGCTACTAAACCACTGAAAGGTTGTTTTTTTTTGAATAAATAAAAACTTTATTTGATTACTATCATAGAATCATACCGTTTGACATTATAATTTGTATCCAATGAAGGTTTTTCAACAAGGGCCACATAAACCAGACCGGTAAGCATAAAAAATAATACGGTCAATGTATGAGCTCTCCTGTTACAATGAAAAAAAATTAACATCAATAAGTGGATAAAACGAAAAATTACCAAAAAAAAGTTTGTGTTCCATCATCGAAAACATCCTGAGTATTGTACGATTGCCAATCGTGTGCCGTAATCAGTTTTTTTGACCCATCATTCGAATCAGTTTTCGTTTCTTCGTCAAATTCTTCATATCTAATATTTGTATTAGAATTTAATGAAAACAATATACTTGGTGATGACTTTGTTTGGCTCATTAGTGATGTTCAAAATTCGAAAAAATTTAATCGGTTTACAAAAAATTGTGAAAAAACACAAGCTCTTTTGGTTTTTAAAAAAATTCTAATCACAACATTTGATGAATAACGGGTGATGATAATGATGATGATGATGTCAAAAAAAAGATGGCAAACATTTGAAATTAGATTGAATTTTACAAAGTAAAGAAAAAAAATTACGAAAAAAATAAATTTAAACCGCTATACTTGGTCTACACAGCCAACAACAAAAACAACAAGTGGCATGATTAGGTCAAATGATAATTTATTTTAGCCATTCACATGTGAATTTTTTTTTCTTTTGGTGGTTCGATTCTTCTATTTCAACGCAACAATTCAATTAAGGTGTTAATAGCTTCGAATAACACGTTAATTGAGGAGATTTTTATTCATTTGTCAACGACGTTGAAATGTTTTGAAAATTAAATTAAATTAAATTAAATTTTTAACAAATAAAACAAACAAGATGTATTCGGATCTTGTTGATGCTTTACCTTATATTGATAATGAATTTAATAATTCTGAAGTTCGTTTAGCGGTGGCTCAAATGGTTGAAGATGAAACAAAACGATATCGTCCAACAAAAAATTATTTGGAATCATTACCAAATCTGCCGACATTGGATGTGAATAAATTTGAGGTATTTTAATCCCAAAATGATTGTTCATCTTATGCCTTTAAATAATGAATATATTTTTATTATTTAAATTTAGACTGACATTTTACGCAAAGAATTCGAACGTTTAAACAATGGCCAATCGATGGAACAATTGAACATGAAACGTTATGAATTACCATCACCATCAACCGGCAAATTGAACGATATATGGGCATGGCAAGAATGTTTGGAAAATTCATTTACACAACTTGAACATCAAACTATTCGAATACAAAATCTCGAACTATTAACAGAATATGGAACCGAAACATCGAAAATGTACAATTCAATTATGACACAATTGTTGGCACGATCAAAGGCTCACCTGGAAAAGATTCGAAAACAAATTCAGGATATAAATCTATTACGTAAAAATAGCCAAACACAAGCTGGAGAGCAGATTAAGATTCTTGAAGAAAATTGGGTTTCATTGGTCGGTAAAAATTATGAAATTGAACGAGCTTGTTTACAACTCGAAACGGACCTGATTAAATTACAACAACAGCAAAAGCAAAATTTTCAACAAAAAGAATAATTGATTGTAATATTACAAACAAAATAATCATTGTAATAATATTGATTGATCATTGTTCAATTCATCATTAGAAATGTAAAATTAAATTCAATAAAAATTTCATGTCACAATCAATCGTGGTGCAATTGACATTGATAAAAGTTCTTGAAACAATAGTTTAGCAGCATATGGTATGCGTACCTGTGAGATCTGTGTCTTATTACGACAGCCTTTACATTCGAATGTATTCGTACGAAGATTAGCGATACAAATCAAACCGCATAGATTACAAATATGAACACGATATGGATCGGATACTTCGAACAAACGTTCACGAAGAAATTGTGCGGCACCATGAGCAATCTGGCAATCACGTTCCATTTCACCGAAACGAAGTCCACCATCACGAGCACGACCTTCCATAGGTTGTCGAACAAGAATCTGTACTGGTCCTCGAGCTCGTGAATGAATTTTATCATCGACCATATGTTTCAATCGTTGATAATAGGTAGGACCAAGGAAAATCTGACAATTAACTTTACGACCAGTATGTGCATTGTACATTACTTCGTAACCACGAAGATGATAGTTATAATCCTAAAAAAATGAAATTAACAACAGATTGGATTAGAAATCATCATTTCAGAAACACATTAACAACTTACATGTAAAAGGTCTGAAATTTTCTGAACATTAACAGTATCATTGAATGGTGTAGCATCACCAATCTCTCCTTTATTCGCAGAAACTTTACCTTGTAAACATTCAATCAAATGACCGATAGTCATACGAGATGGTATAGCATGCGGATTAATGATGATATCTGGTGTGATACCTTCACAAGTGAAAGGCATATCTTCTTGTCTGCAAAAAAAACAAATAATCAATTGTTTTTCATACTAAAAAAAAGATGAAGAATTCAATAGCTTACCTATAAGTAATACCACAGGTACCTTTCTGGCCATGTCTTGAGGCAAATTTATCGCCAATTTGTGGTACACGAACAGAACGGACACGAATTTTACAGAATTTATATCCCTCATTATTTACAGTGATCATCACCTGATCGACAATACCAGTTTCACTGTTTCGTAAAAATGTACTTGCATCACGTTTGGTGTATTGTTTAACACCGCCGGATAAATCATCATCATTTTCTGGTAAAGTTGTCGTTTTACCAATAATAACATCGTCACCAGAAACACGAGTTCCCGGTGCAATAATACCATCATCTTCTAATTTATCATAGATAGCATTACGCATTCCTTGACATGTATCTCGTGTTGGTTTTTCAAATTGATCTTCTTGATCACCGAGCCGTTTTTGTTCAGAATCTTTATATGAACGATAAAAGATGGAACGAAAAAACCCACGATCAATAGCTGAAGCATTCATGATAACTGAATCTTCTTGATTATAACCCGTATATGACATGATGGCAACAATTGAATTAATACCAGCTGGTAATTCACGGAAACGAAGATATTCCATTGATCGTGTTGTTACTAATGGTTTTTGTGGATAATAAAGTACATGTGCCAATGTATCCATACGAACATGAAAATTGGTAATATAAACACCCATAGCTTGTTTACCCATAGCTGATTGATACGTATTACGTGGTGATTGATTATGATCAGGAAATGGGATGATCGATGCACAAACACCAAGTATCATTGATGGATGAATTTCACAATGAGTATACGTAGAACAATATGGATTTTCGGATTCTTGTAGATCATCTGGTGTCATAGCAATCATTACAGTTTCCTCTTCCAATGTATCAATATATTCGACAACGCCCGAAGCAACTAAATCATGCCAACTAAAACTATTGTATTCACGATTTTTTAACTGTTCAATATGACAACGTTTTAGTAATAGTTTTTGATTTTGAACAATCAACAATGGACGACATATACGGCCAGCATCCGTATAGATACGAATTTCTCGATCACGTATATCGCGTACCATCGATACTTCCGAAACGATAATATCCATTTGTCGCCGTAATTTTCGTAATGTATTCATTAATAAATCCGGTTCACGATGAATACCGACCCAACAACCATTGACGAAAATTTTTGTCGCTTCCGAAATGGCTGATGGAGCAATTTCTTCTAGGTTTTCCATTGACCATTCTTCTAAAAATTCTAGAATTGGTGATGGTTGAGAACCGACAGAAATGTAGGCCATAAGTGCAAGATTTTTGACCAAACCGACAGCATGTCCTTCAGGGCGTCTCGGCCGGACAAATCATACCCCACAGAGTGTTATGTAATTGACGTGGTTTAGCTAATTTTCCATCACGACCAATCGGTGAATTTACACGACGAAGATGTGATAAAGTTGATGCATAAGTAAGACGATTAAGTACTTGTGAGACACCGGCTCGTGCTTGATGTGCTTTTTTCTGATCACCCCAATTACCAGTGGCTAATGAATACCGTAAACCATCGGAAATTATTCTAGTTTTGATGGCCAATTCTAATTGAAAATCTTTTCCACGATCAATGAATTTCTGTGCATAACTTCGAACCTCTTTGGTTAGATTACGAAACAGGCCACGAAATAGATAAGCCAATAATGGACCAGCCAAATCTAAACGTTTGTTTCCATAATGATCACGATCATCCAATTCTCTTCGGCCTAATGCAGCTAACAATAATCGATGTACCATGTAGCCAAGATAGTAGGCTTTTTTCGTTTCACAAAAATCACCAACACCAACGTGTGGTAACATTTCTTTTTGCAGAATTTCTTTGGCATATTTAATACGTTTTTCGAGTGGTACACCTGGACGTGCACCACGTGTTCCAATAAAATTTAGTGCTATCCGTTGTTCTTGAATGACAAAAGCTTCATCTAAAGATGGTTTCACCATTTCCATCATTTCAGGATCTTCAAAATCGTATATTATATGTTCGAGAATATCTCTATCGGCGACAAAACCAAGTGCACGGAATACAATCATAATGGGTATTTCTTGTTTTATATACGGAATGATGGCAATAATTCGTTGACCAACCGTATTTTTTTTACCACCTTGTGATCCACGAGCCAACATATTCACCCATAATGTACTGGTTGGTCTCGATGAATGTTCAATACAGGATCGACATTCGGCTTTATAAGTATATTTTGAATCTTTCATCGAAAAAACATATACAGTATTTGTGGCCATTTTTTCCTGAGCAATCAAAACTTTTTCCGAACCATTAATGATGAAATAACCACCAGGATCAAGAGGACATTCATTCAATTCGGCCAAATCACGATCAGTAAGACCATTGAGTAGACAATATGTTGACCGAAGCATGATAGGAATTTTACCAATATAAGTTTTTTCATGCATCGTTTCGATTGGTTCTTGATTTTCTCGTGTTATTGTCTTGATGATATCTACATACAATGGAGCCGAATAGGTAAGATTACGAAGACGAGCTTCATTTGGCATCATTGCTGTCGGTGTACCATCTTTTTCCCAATGTGTTGCTTTTGACAGATAGATTTGTTCAAATTTTATCGTATAAGTTGTAGGTGCTTCAATGATGCCGGATTTATGTTGTGGTTCGGCTTCAATTTCAATTGTAGATGAATCTTCAACGATTCTTTGTACAGACATTTGTATGAATTCATCGAATGAATCAAGTTGTTGTCGTACGAGACCTTTTTCATCGAAATATGATGATATGACAATCCAACAGGCTTCTTGCCATAATTCTGAACTAATCTCTGGCGTTTCTTCATCGTCGATTTGATCCTCATCTTCATACATGATGATAAAATCGGAATTATTTTCAAAATTGTAACAATTTTTAAATTAAATTTTAAAAAAATCGTTGCAATGGCAAGCATGCAAAAACAAAAAAAAAATGGGACACCAAATATTCGGCCTTTGTCAAACATATTACCATTCATAGAGTACGTTCCAAAATTGTCTACAAAATCAATTCAAATTGGACTGATTTTTATTAATTTTTTAAATTTATAATTTATTTACAGAAATTTTTTTTAGTCAAAGAGCTTGGTGTATGAAATCGAGATAAATAAAAAAATGATGAGATAATAATACGTAAGATAAAAATAATCATTATAAAAAAATGACGATTTAAAAAACTATGATGATGATGATGATGGTAAATCAATTTTTGAATTTGGAGAGAATCGATATTTTGAAGCCACTCGTCTTTTCCCTAATGTACGACTTCTTGTCGAATTAAATGGTGTACTACTTTTGATTGCTGTAGTTTTTCTTTGGGTTAAATCATTTTTGTCGATTAATTTTTCAGATTTTCGGCTATTTTTGTGATGAGAAATAGGAGATATGCAGGATTCATCTAGATTGAACAAATCTTTTTTACAATTTTTTTCTTCATTGGTTGGTATACATTCTGTTTTGTTGACATTTCGTTCAATCAAAATATTTGATTTTCTTGAACGAGTACTTCGACGTGGATGAATGTTTTCGTTGGCAATAACATTCTCTTGATTTTGATCAACCTTAGAAATCGATTTCTTTTGGACTTTCGGCTTCTTGATTGGTTGTCGTATTGATTTTCGTTGCCTTTTCTTTTGTTCTTTTTGTTCGGCAATGGTTCGAATTTCTAATGGAAATTTTTCAATTTCATCAAAATCTGGTAATTCTTTGGATTCGATAGCTTTCTGGAATGCTTCAAGAACGGCATCTTTCGAAACATTTGGATAGGCTAATTTCTTTTTCCGTACGGTTTTTCGTTTCTTTTTTTTACCATTTTCATTGTCATTGAATAATGGTTCATGATTTTCGTCTAAAGATTCTGGATCATCTTCGCTGTGAAAATCATCATCGTCATTATCATCGTCATCATCATCATTATCGTCAACGTCATCAAGGAATCGAACGAATTTCGGTTTCACTTTTTGATATGTTCGAATCGGTTTTTTCACATTTAAATGTTCATCATTATCATTGTTATTTTTATCGAATAGTTTATCAAATAATTCTTCACATTTTTGATCATTAATCGGTGGTAAAACAAAATCATCTTGAGAAGAATCCATTTTCAGGTTATTTTTTAAAAACGAATTTTTTCAACGATCATATTTCGTATTCAAAGAATAAAAAAAATCAAAACAATAAACGTGCGGCGCTAACTGTCAAACAAAAACACAGACACACACACACACACACACACATCATTTTGCCGCGTAAATCGAAACATCGTGAGCAAGCGCTATGGTTCTATTTCCACACTAAAGAACCATAAATGTCAAAATGGTTGAAAATTTGAAATTTCACGATTCAAATTTTTTTTTCATTTGTGTTTTTTATTAAGTTGAGATAAAATGTAATTTTTTCTCAAAAGAAATTATCATTTTATGATTGATTAAATTGATTATTAAATAAGTGATTAATTATTAAAATGTTAAGCGTAACACACACACACACAAACTTAACCGGTCATCATTGAATTTTTTTTTGCCTTGAAGATTAAAAATTTTTTCTTTTTTTGATTATTTTTTTGAATATCCTTCCTGTGGATATGAAACTTGTTTGGCTTGTTCATAGCCATGACTACCGCCACCACCGCCACCACCACCAATCATACCATCTTGGCCTTTAGCGATCAATGTTTCAATACGTTCACGAACTGGTCTCACTTCTTGTGTACGATGGCGATATGGTGCAATCACTTCTCGTACCTCTTGAATAACTGGTTTCTTAATGTTTTGGATCAATAAATCCGGTTCATCGATGGCATTCTGTTTTTGTACTTGTCCCGGATGACTAAAATGTTTCTGTATAGCGTTGATATTTGATGAATGTGAATTAAAACGTAATGTTAATGGCAATGGACCGGAATTGATATCTACTACCGGTGTTTTACCCGGATCATGGCTACTATGTACTGGATATAGGCTGACTGAATGTTTAGATTTTACTGCAGCATCTACAGAATGATCATAATGGCCACCACCACCACCACCACCACCACCGCCGCCACCATATGATGCTGAAACCAAACCAATGATGGAAAATGCAAAAAATGAAATCTAGAAAAAAACAACAACAACAACAAACAAACAAATAAAAAAAAATTTCAGAAGAAAAAAACTTTACCGAAAACATTATTGAAAATTTCTTTTTTAAAAAATCGAAAACAATGATGATGATGATGATAAAACACTGTGGATATGATTTTCACTATCGATCTGTCCAATGTTTATATACTCGATGTTTGGTGTTCTGTTTTTTTGTCGAAATACCAGAAACGAAAATTTTTTACCCGAAAAAAAATAGACGGGATAATTTTCTATTTGGTCTATTGGATTTTTTTTTTTTTGTTTGTTTGTTTCCTCTTTAATTATGATTGAATTATCTAATTTTTTTTCTACTTGTTTTCAACTACTATTTTACACGAGGTGATTTAAATTTGACAACAACAAATAACATACACACCATTTTTTTCTGTTTTTTCTGTTTTTTGTTTTGTTTCTGGTTCCGTATTCCTCATCCACAGCCACCTCCTCCACACTCATTGGCACAAAAACAATTAAACCCAACATTATACAACGGTATAATGATTTCAAATCAATATATCTGTCTATTAGGTTGATTATCCGAAAAAAAAAGTTTTTGTATTTGTTTTTATCTTCAAACAAACACACACACATATAATGATAGATAATAATATATATAGGTGATTTCTATGTTCATTTGATGGCGGTATGTATTAATTAACCGATATAGGTCAATCATAAGTGATTTGCATTTTTTTGTTTTGTTTTGTTTTGTGTTACAAAATCTTTGTTTTTGTGTAGCATCATAATTCCAAATGACATTTGACTATTTGGTCAATTATTAGTATTGTTTTCTTGTTCTTTATTTGGAACACCACATATGTCCCATACACACACACACACACACACACGCATACACACACACTGAAAAAAAATCCGGATCAATGCATCATATCATTTATCATAACCTGAAATGGCAATTATCACCAAGAAATGATAATTATCATTTTTTCAGCAGAAAAAAAAACAAAAAAAAAACAGAAACAATTATCAACCAGAAACAAAACGGATAAACAAAAAACAGTAAATTGTTTTTGCAACACACCAAACTGACAAAATCTTATTTAAATCATCATTTTATGGACAGTTTTCAATTGTCACCTTGTGTATGTGTGTGGTGAACATTTATTTCAAATGCAAATGTGCAAAACAGCAACGAAAAAAAAAATCTTCGGACCGTGTTTTTTTTGATGATGATTGCTGTTGTTGTTTTTTAATTGTTTACTTTAATTGTTAAATAATTTTTTTTTCAAACACACACACACAGTGAAACACATGTGTACACACACACACACACAAATATTTCGTAATCATTTTTTTCATATCAAATGAAAAAAAAATGATTACGTTTTTCACCATTCATTCAAATTATTTGAGTGAATGATCCAAAAAGAAAAAAATGACAACAAAAAAAACAAACAAACATAGTAAATGTATCGAGATCATTACCATCATTTATTTCAATTACACACACACACACACTGATCTGAATTAAAATATTCATCGATTTTTATTCCAATATATATAGAGATATATAGCCCTTAGGCTTTTTTGGGTAAATTGATGTTTTTTTTTTCTTTTCTTACAATTGTCATATATCAAAGTACCGCTACACACACACACACAGGGATAATTGGATGAAGTAATGCCGAGTACACCGTTTTACACACACACACACACACAAAAAAATAATGAACAATTAAAACCAATCTGGCCATTAATTTTTCATTTTCTTTTTTTGTTTGTTTGTTTAAAAGTCCATTTTTTATGCATTTGTAATTGCCACAAATGGGAAAACAAATATCTCTTTATTACAAGTGTGTGTAATGTGTTGGAAAAACTTGGTATATAAATACTTGGTCATCGTGTGCATAGTGAACACGAATAGAATCTCAAACAGAAAAATTCAAATTTTTTCCAGTGTTCAGTTGTTGTTTTTTGTTGAAAACATGATAAAATACGTTGTAAGTTTTTTTTTGCAATTTTTCAATCTTCTTACCTAATTCTCATTTCATATTCAGGCATCAATTTTTCTATTCATCGGTATTTCCTATGCATCCTATGGTGGCAATAATAATGGCGGTTATTCAATGAATGGTATCGATGCTGCCATTCATTCAAAACATTCGGTTCAAACATTTCCAGTGTCTGGTTCCCGACAAATGGGCCGAACACCAGTGGTCGATATTAATTCTGAACCATTACCATTAACATTGCGTTTTAATTCACATTCAACAAGAATTAATCCAATACAAAAACATTTTAGCCATGCTGGACAGATATTCAAACATAATACTATTGATGAACCGGATGTTCTTATACAGAATATTCGTAAACCAATCATTCAAGAAGTAAGAGAAATTATTACACCATTTCGACAGGTTACACAAGAAGTTCGACCAGTTCGTGAACAAATTCAAACACTTGTTGCACGTGGTCAAGATGGTGGTTTTGGAATGGGTGGTGGCAGTTCTGGTGGCGCTACTGGTGGTGGTGATGATGGTAATTCTGGTGATAATAATAAATACGAATCAATGGATAAATATGGTGGATATTATAAAGAATGAGATGTATCCAAATTCCAAAAAAAAAACTTATTTATTCATATTTTCATAATTCAAATGTTGTTTGTTTGTTTGTTTTCGTTACATTTTTTATCATTGTCGACAACATTCATTTCACTTTTGTCTTTCGTCACATTTTTATGTAGTGTAAACAAAACGATTCAAAAAATGATTCAATCACAAATCGATCAATCGATCGATTGAATTGATTTTACTAGGATTCAAGTAATAATAATAATAATAAAAATGATGATAATAAGTGGCAAACATATTTTGGCCATATGGTATATACATATTTGTTGATTATGCATAAATTGTATTGATAAAAAATTTCAATCCTTGAGATCGTTTGTTGTTTGTTGTTGTTGTTGTGGATTGCACAATTTTCAAATTTTTTTTCCATTCATTCACTCATTCATTTGATTGAAAATCATTATTCTTTATGTGGATCGATTTATAATTCAATTTGAAATTCATGAGCATGTAAGTATTGCTTTTTCTGTTGCCAAAAAAAAAATGATTGTTTTGTCTTGTTTTTTTTTCTTCAGAAAAAAAAAAACATTTGATTCAATTCGATTCGATTGTCATGATTTGATTAGCTTTGATTTTTTTTTTACTTCTTCTTCTTCTTCTTTGTGTTGTTTCCTTGTTTTACGAAAAAAAAAAACAAAACAAAACAAACAAGCAAATAATCCTTGAATAATCGGCTTCAATCGCAAAAAAAAATATTTTTCAATTGATCACAAAATGTTTTTTATTTATTTCCACCATCACCACCACCACCACCACCACCACTTTCTCATCGATATGAATATGATCCTATTTGTTTATTTATTTATTTAGCCCAATGATGATCATCATCATCAGCATCAAATTTCAATTCCATAAACAAAAACGATCAAAAAAAAATCAATCAATCAATCAATCAACAAAGTTTGATAATAATCTAGAAAAAAAAATGAAATTGGCTTACAACAAACAAAAATCATCAGCCAGTCTTTCTCTCTCTAAAAAAAATCGGATTATACTGGAAATAAAACCCGATAGAAATACCGGATATTATGTTGAATTGAATTGAATTAATAAATTGTTAAACCAGAAAAAATATATATTGAATTCAATTTGATAATATTGTTCACATTAGATGATTTGAGAAAAAAAAAATTAAATCAAAAAGAGAAAGAAAGAAATGAATATTTCGAGGTCCACACAGGTTTTTATTGCTTGTGCTGCTCTTTTCTTGTATCATCATCATCATCATCATCATTCATTTAGTTCTTGTTTCTCTTTTTATTCGATAATAATGATGATGATGATCATCATCATCTTAATCAAAATCAAAAAGAGATAGAGTGAGAGAGAGCAATATCTGTGTTCGTCTGTACTTTCATCAATATCTGTGTGTCCATTCCATTCACTTTTCATTGATGATCATCATCGTCATCAGCCATGTTCAAACATGCAATATCGGTGTTTAACAACGATGAAGATGATAATATTCTTTCAATAATTCATTTCAATGTTAATATTCAACAGGCTGTTGTTGCTGCTGCTGTTAATAAATGCATGTGAATTCAGTATGGCAGAAAAAAAACCGGCCTTAAAACAACAAACACATCTGTACACATTCATTCACCGTATGATTTCAATTGATTACTACCAAACAGACAAACATGATGAAAATGGAAACAAAAAATGAAGGCGCCATTTCATTCTGTCTGCCTGTGTGTGTTGTTACAATGTCCAACAATTTTGTCCGTGTGGCAGATGTTTTATTTCAATGTTTTTTTATCAATCATATATAATTTAGTATTGAATGAATATGGCTGTTACATTTTAATTGGTAATTTTTGTTCATAATTCATAATGATGATGATAATTATTGATTTGATCCACCGATCAATCCATTTCAATCCGATCGATCGATTGATTTATTCTATTTTGTTCTTATGTTCATTTTTGTTTTGTTTTTTCTTTTGTTTCATTATCCATATCACGTATTTTACTTTTAGACAGAAAAAAAATGAAAAATTTGTTGACCATGTCTCTCTCTCTCTCTCTTGTTTGGACATTATCATCATGCCTTTATTTGGCGCTATGTGTGTGTCTGTGTGTTTCCTTGATTTGATGTTCACCATTCACTACATATTTTCTTCGCCATTTATATTTTGATCATCATCATCATCCAATCCAATCCAATAATAACAACGACAACAACGACCATTTCAATTTGATAATAATAATAATAAAAAAGTGTTGAAAGAGTCATATCAACGTGTGTGTTTGTGTGTGTGTGTGTGTTTGATTTGCCTGTGTATACGGCTGTTTGCTCATTAATATCATCAATTTTTATGATTCGATTTTTTTTTTTTATTTTACCATTTCAACTTCAAATCAATCAACATACACGTCGTATTCGTAGTCATCGAACAACAAAATCGAAAATAATCAAGCTCCACAAAGTGATTCACACACACACACACACACACACACACACAAAAAAAGATGAATTGAAATTACCCCTGATGTAATCATTTGCATCATCATCATCGTATAAAAAATATATGCATGCAACACACACACATGTTTGTTGTTGCGGTTGTTCCAGAAAAATCATTCAACAAACACTTGTACGTCTCTCTCTCTCTCTCTCTGTTTCTCTTTAAATTACATTTTTTTTTGCATAAAAAAAATATGAAAATAATAATGATAATCAAGTTTTGATGTGAAAATTGATTGACGTGTTATGTTTAATGTCTGTGTGCCTGTGTGTTGTTTGTTTGTGGGGATTTTTTTCATTTTTCATTCCATTCACATTCGTTATTCATGTGTGTATGTGTACGTGTTTGATCCATCAATGATTTTTGTTTCTTCGACCACTTGAATTTGTTTTGTTGTTGTGGTTTTTTTTCATTCGGAAAAAAAATTCTAGTTGGAAAAAAAATGTCAACGTCATCCAATCCGTCAGTCAAGAATCCAAAAGATTTGCAGCTGCGCGCGTGTGAATGGAAAATTCCTTTTCACATTTATATATAGCACATTATTATTATTATATTATGGTTATAACCATAAAATCGAAAAATTCTACTACTCATCTCATAGGGACTCATTGGTAGTGGGTGCTGTTCATTACCTTGACCAGAATATATATTTTTTTGTTTGTGTTTGTGTGTTTGTTGTCAGGACGTTTTTTTTCGTTTATTTGTGCTTGAAAATAACGAAAAACAACAACAACAACAACGACAACGATTAAAATATGGAATTGACAAATATTTTAATCCATTAAGTTTCTTATATACTTGGATTACATTGGAACACAGTAATCGATGATGGATGGAACCATAATCTAATCACATTTGTCATCCATAATCATTTGATCTTTCCATCCTGTTTGTTTGTTTGTTTATTTTCATTATAAAATGTGTTTGTGTGTGTGTGTGTGTGTGTGATTCCACAATTTAAATGATGAAAAAGACAATGTTGAAATTATTGCAACAGGAAAAAAATTGATTAAATTCTACAAAAAAAAAACAATGATTCCACCAACATTATCGATTCATGAAAAAAATATGAATCGAATGATGAATACAAATCATCATCATCATCATCATGGCCATCATGGCCATCATCATCATCATCCAAATTATTATCATCATGATGATGATACGACACAATCATCATTAATGAATAATAATAAAATGATCATCAACAGCCACAACGATAATAATAATAATAATAATAATGATGAACAACAACAACAACTAGTCAAATGTACATTAGATGATGATCAATGTTTGAATCTTGCCAATATTCTACAATCATTTCAAACAGCCATAAATGAAGAACAAGCATGGGCATTATGTTATCAAATTGTCAAATGTTTTCGTCAATATTATCAACCACCAGTGAATAGTAGTAAAACTAGTCATCATAATCATCATCATCATAATCATCATCATCATGATTGCTACCTAATTACTGATCCATCACATGTTCATATACATAAAGATGGTTTCATACATCGTAAAACACTTGATCCAAAAACTTTCAATGGTATGTCTTTGTGTGTGTGTGTGTGTTTTTTCGTAATTTCATAACTTTTAATTTCTCTGCCGAGAGACAAACAGACAGAGAGAGAGAGAGAGAGAGAGAGAAATATGAATTTTTTTCTCGTTCAAAATACTTAAATATGTGTGACATATCAATGATAAATATCTCATAATAATAATAATAATTGGTAGTCTCCATAGTTGTTTTTGTTGTATAAATATTTAGTTTTTTTTCAAAATAAAAAAAAACCTGTCAAACCTAAATGGTAATTATAATGATGATGATGATCAAAATGATTACCGTGATGTTTATGATGGTAATTTGCAAACAACAACAACAACAACAACGACAACAACAACAACAAATGACATGATTTATAGACTTATTTTATTTTACATTTGGTTATCTATCGTTTGTATTCGTCTTGTTGTTTGCATTTTTTTTTTGTTCTTCAACATCCTGTATTCTTGTTTGCTATGTCAGAAAAGCGCCAAGGCTCTTGTTGTGTTGGAGTATTTGGAATCATCATCATAATAAGAACAATTTGCCATTTGCTATGAATTTTAAATGAATTGAAAATTTTATTACCTGGGTGGAAACTTTCTTTGTGTGTGTGTGTGATGTCCATTATAATGATTGTTTCGTTGTTTGTCATCACTGAATGTGGTTGACAAATTTACACACACACACACACACACACACACACACACGGTTGTAATAAAATTTTTTTGTTGATGAACAGCAAAAACAAAAAAATATGAAAAACAAAAACAATTTTCATGAGAACTAATTATTTCAAATTTTGACTAATAAAAAAAAAAAAAAAATTTTTTTTTTTTTGCAAACAACAATCAGGTGAAATGTGAAATAATAATGTCAAAGCGAGGTCAGAGAAGATTGTTTGTTTGTTTTGTTTTGTTTTGTTTTGTTTTGTTTGATTATCATCTTAATCATCGGGTAAAATAATTTGTTTTCTCCATTTTAGAAATGATGATGATGATGATGATGAAAATCAATCTTCAATGACAAAAACAACGACAATGGCAACAAAACAAAAATTTTGCTTTTTTTTTCCTCATCTCTGATGATTATAATGATTATGTGAATGATAATGAACAACAACAACAACAACAACAACAACAACAACAGAAATTAAATTAAACTATAAATTGATTGATTCATTCAAAAAAAAAAATTTCAGCTAGTTCAGACAATCATTATCGATGTTTTTTCTCTGTTTTTTTTTTTTTTTTTTTTTGATTATATTTACGTGCTTGATGATCCATTGATGATGATTACACACATCATTCGAATCATTCTTTATATACGGATGGATATATACACATTGGCTATTTTTATCCAAAAAAAAAAAAAAATCAAATTTACTACACACACACATGTAGATATAGTCAGTTTATCAAATCAAATCAATCAATCTATTCCATTGGATAATGATAATGATCAATTTGTTTTTGTTTTCTTTTTTTTGGCTAATTGCATTTTGTTGTTGTTGTTGTTGTTGTGCATATATTCGATTATCATCTGAAACACAAGTAAAGGGAAAAAAATTTCAATTTTTTTGTACAGAAAAAAAATGAAAACACAATTATTTTGACAATTATTGTTCAAAACATTTCAATCATTTACAACAATAAGTAATTTTTTTTTCTTTGTTACATTGTAAAGAAAAATCCTTTTTTTCCATACAAGTATATCTCATTCTTTCAATCAAATTCGGTATTTTTTTTTTCATTTTCATTTTGAAGAAAGAAGAAGAAGAACGATTAACCTATTATGATGATGATGATGATGCTATTGTCATCGTCGTTATTATCATTAATAGATGATGATGATGATGATAGTGATGGCGGTAAATCGAAACAATAAAAAAAATTTTCAATTCGATTCAGATATACACACTCAATACTAATCAATAGTCAATAGATCGATTACGTCCGGCATTTTTTCCTCTTTTTTTTACAATATTTCTATATTTATATCTTCCACGTTTCTACAGTCAGATTGTTGTTGCTGTTTTGTTTTGTTATTTTTTTTTTGTTCATGTTTACTTCAACCATTCGTTTCCGTTTCTCATGGCATCAATTCATTCGATTGATCATCTGCTGATCTCTCTTTGTGTGTGTGTGTGTGTGTGTGTGTGCTTTTTTGTTTTGTTTTGGTCAATAGTTTTGGATATACGGATGAAATGAAATGAAATGAAATGGATGAACATCTATGATCACGATGTATGATATTTACACACACACTCACTACTAGCCATGTGTGTGTGTGTGTGTGTGTGTTATGTTTGCAATCTGGTCCCAAAAAAAAAACTAATGATAATGATGATTATTTGGTCGAAAATGAAAAATCTATTGACCTTCATTGATGATGATGATGATGATGATGATGATGATCTTAATTTGTATTGTGTAATTGATCAAATCTAATATATCGTTTTGAATTGATCGATATTTAATAATAATGATAATAATCGAATCCAAATTTAATCATTTCGTCTCTGTCTCTCTGTTTCTTTCTTACTGAAATCATGATTTTTTTTCACTTGTTGTGAATAGACAATTGGCCAATTTTTTTTATATATATTGCAAATCGAATAAGAAAAAAAATATTATTCATCATTCATCGATATACATTGGTCGTGATTTTCAAAAAAAAAAAAAAATCCATTTTTGTTCCAAATACACACACACACACACACACAAAATGGATCGATTGATATCATTTCACATAGTCGATGATGATAGTGATTTGCTTATTGTATATTTTCACAGTGACACAAACACTTGCCACTTGTTGTTGTCGTTGTTGTCGTCGTCGTTTTTGTTGTTGTCGTTGTTGTTGTTGTTGTTGTTGTTGTTGTTGTTGTGATTGAAAAAAAAACTACAAAATCCTAATGGCATGAATAAATTCATTCATTCATTCATTTATTAAAAAAAAATTGGTTTTAAATCACTAACTACACACACAAAAAAAACCTAACTCCAAAATATGTGTGTGTGGTGTTTTTTTTTTTTTTTTGAAAACTTTGATTCAAAAAAAAAGTCACGACAGATAAAACAGTTTGTTTGTCAGTGAGCGAGTGTGTGTGTATGATTATCATCATTATTATTATTGGCTTCAATGGTCATTTTCTATTTTTCATTTAACATTTTCATGGATTCATTTCATTGTACAGTTTCATTCAGGCATTCAGTTTATTTTTTTTTTTGGCTGATGAACAACAACAACAACAACGACGATGATGATGATGATGATGGAGAAAAAAAATTGTTACGATGATGATGAGATTAATACTTTTTTCTTGTCTAATTCTTTCATTTTTTTTACGAATTATTAAGAGATGAGATTAGATTAACAAGAGAGAGAGAGATAGATAGATGTAAAGATTGTTTGTGAAATAAAAGCCAAAAAGGATTGTAAAATATTGCACAAAGATGATGAATGAATGAATGAATGAATGAATAATGAGCTTGTTGTTGAATGGAGAGAGAGAGAGAGATGAAATTAGTAGATCATCATCATCATCATGTTTTTTTTTGGGAATTTTTTTAAATTTTTTTCTTTAAATTTTCATTACGAATATCACTATATCATTGTGTTTGGTTTTGCATACATTTGAAACAAAAATAAATGACGATGACGATGATGTGATGGATCGAAATTCATTCATTCATTCATTGATTAATTTTAATTTCCATAAATAATAATAATAACTTTTTTTTTTTTTGATCATCCACATTGATGATTGATATAAATTGGGTTTTTGTTTTTTTCATTCATTCGTTCGTTCGTTTTCTTTTTTTCATTTTCATTTTCTTCACAATATTCAATCAGAAAAAAAAATGGTTGATCTACAAAATAAAATTACCCACACACATATCTCTTATTTATAACCATGACGATGATGATGATGATGATGATCGTAGATCGTCCATTCATTTACAATCAATGATGACCAATAATTATGGTGTCTGATGTTTTTTTTTTTTATTTTTTTCATCAATATTTACTTCATTTATGATTTTTTCATATTTTCTTTGCTTGTCGTTTTTTTTGTGGCTGCTGCTGCTGCTGCTGTTGTTGTTTTTTTCAATTTAATTTACTCGGGCGATCAAAAATTTTTTTTTTTTTTCATCTTTTTTTCAATCAACGAGGGTGGTGGTGGTGGTGGATGGCCAGAAATGAGGAAAAAAAATTACAACCAGCCGACCACAGAAAAAAAATAAATAAATAAACACGGCCAATGGGCAAGGAGAAAAAAAATGTGTGTGTGTGTGTGTAATAATTATTTATATATATGAAAATCGAGATTGATGAAAATAATTAAGACCGTTAGATATAGACAGAAGAAAAGTGTATTGAAACAACAGATTTTGAATTTTTTTTTTGTTCAAAAAATTAATTGATCAGCATCAGCAGCAGCAGCAGCAGTAGTAGTAGCCACTACAAGATTGACCTTTGTTGACCAAAGTTTAAGATTTTCAATTGTCATCATCATGATCATCATCAGTGTTGCTGCTGCTGCTGCTGCTGCTGCTGCTGGCTGCTGCAATTTCATTTTCCGCTTCACTGTCAGTGTGTAAATTTTTTTTCATCGTCGTCGTTACATTGTGTAATCTAGTAAATGAATTAGAATTTGATGATGATGATCATTGATTAACTCTTGAATTGAATCGAATTTTAATCGACTTTTATCTTTCTATCTCTCTATCTCTCTCTCGCTCTCCAAAAAAAAAAATTGATTACCCAGAAAAAAAACTTGAACTCTGTGATTCCATTGTTCACATCGAATGAATTGATTTTTTCCACACTTATTCTCATTCAATTCGTTGTCGTTGTCGTTGTTGTCATAGTTTTCATCACATAATCATCATCATCATCATCGGTGTACGGTCAAAACATTTTAATTGATGTGTTGTTGTGTTTACATCGAATGTCAATTATGATTTGTAATGGAATGAATGAATGAATCGACAACA